CCTAACTGAATTCTTTGAGTAAGATATTATTTAATTTCACTAAATACACGAATTTCACAGTTTTAACTAATGTCTTAGAGTCTCTCTGTTTCATAGGACCAATGTATCATAGTGATGTAATTTCCTAATTTTATGAAAATATTTGTCCATTGTCTATGTCGAATAGTGTATGCGTAGTCGCATTGTCTCCATGCAAAAATAGGAGAGTAGCTTAGCTTGTGTTCGTTCCAATTATATCTATGTCACACCTGAGTGAGCCAGTTAGTCACTATCGAGATCAGATCACAGGACCATAACAACTAGAATGCAAAAGCTTTTAGTTTCTTTCTTAGCAGGAAATATGATTGTAACTTATAAGCATAAAAACTGATTAGACATGTAGTATTACCAAGAAAATTCAATATCATACTTCCGGGAAGACATATATCTTGAACTCTTAAATCCTAAAAATATATTCAAGTCAAACTCATATTTCTTGAAAGTTTTATCTAAAAATGAAATTCTTGTAGCTTGTACTTACCTAAACTGAAAGATATAGGACAGAGAAACACCACTGTATAGGTGTTGAATCCTCCACAAAGAAGCAAAGGTATCATACAAGCTCTAAATACCAGCTCTTCTGTAAGTGGGGCCTGTTTAAAAGGACATTTTCCAAACAAGAATTAAGTACAAAACATATTTTCACGTTTATAAATCATAGCTTCTTGAGATTTTGCTTTGACATGAATAAGGAGAAAATGCACACCATGCGATTTCTTTTTTGAAAGAAACATAAGGTAAAATACTTCAACATGTTGCAGCAAATTGGTAATATCTTCATAGAGAACCTCAAGTATCTCCAACTCCAACATGATAACCCACTCAGGCTTTATCTTTGCCAAAGACGCTAGTGTAAATCAGATAAACCAAAAGAAAGTTGATGGAGTACATAATATTTGCTTCAAAGAGATTAATAACAAGAAGACTTTGATCTTTCCCTCCAAAGTCGCTTGCTTTAGATGGATGGCAGCACATGAAGCATGTCTTATGCAAAGAAGGGGATTTAGCTTGTGTTGATGGTGTTATTTGTGCAAAGAACAGTAAGTCATCTTCTATTACACTGCAAATTTGTATGTGAGTTTGGTGCATGTTTCTTAACTTGTATGGGATTCAAAGGGCCATGCCAGCAAAATGCAAATGTGGAACAACTGCTAAGCAGTTGATAAAGTCAGAGAGTGAAGAAAGTATTTAGAGGACTGTTCCATTAATCATATTCTGGAATGTTCGGCTCGAGAGGAACAAAAGATGTTTTGAAAGGAAGTGAACTCTTTGCTGTTGAAGTATAGATGCATTCATAGTATAAAAAAATAGCGCAATGCTGAATTTTCGAATGATCTTGATGTATTTATGGACTCCATACAGCATTAGCGGATTCCTATCTAGTTTTGTTGTACTCTCTCTCAGTAAGTTCCTGATACTGAGTTTATTATTAATCTTACTTATCAAAAAAAAGAAAGAAAGAATTGATCTTTCCACCTAACAAAAAGAAAGAAATAGGAGACTTGTTATATTTCTAGTTTGAAGTTGTCATATTACCTAACATACGAAAATGCATCTGTATATATACCAAATATGCAGGGAGATGGTGGCATGAAAGCTATTACAAAAGTGAGTTAGTAATAACAGAAGTTTGAGGGAACTATTGATCTCGTAACCACGAAATAGAAGGATTCAAGTAAATCTTGATCCTAATACAAAGATCAGATAGCCAAGAGCATTAACAAGGTGAGCAGAGAAGGTAACCAGCTTAATATTCTAGTAAGGTTACTGACCACAAAAAAATTACGCCATGCTGAAATATCGGACGCCATTGAAGAGACCGATTCAATAAATTCATGGACAACATTTTTAATACTGTCAAGTGAAAGGCTTCTTCCATTTCCCCCATCTTCTTGGCCCGAGTCTAGCAACAATAACAGCTTGAGGATGAAGGTGCCAGCGTACATTAAGGAAGTCAATGTCAGAGGAAAGACGACAGCTTGCCACTGTTTTAAACATAAAATTGCATTTCAGCAATCAGTCACCCTTTCTCAATCTGCGAGTCATAAGAGAGCAGAACTTGATAACAACCACATGCAAAGCATTGTCGCATGCAAAAAAAACTAATCCAGCACAGATATGATACTTACGATATGATCCAATCTGATGCCATAAACACCTGAAAGATGAGATTTACCCCATTGAATCTGAAAGATTGGAAAATTGTATTAGACTGAGAATACAAGAGGAACTTACTGGTAAAAGAAACTTTGCAGAAAAGCTCCAAAACCAATAATTCGCTCATGGATGAATGTAAAACTAATGTAAGCCTTCGCTTCCAGCAAATGGTTTAGCTCCCATTTGGCCATAGATTTTGAAGTTGAAACTTCGAACGTAAAAAGATGAGTATTCGAAGCTGTGATTTTTAGAATTTGGAGTTCTGTTTGGACATGCATTTTACTTGAAAAAAATTTGAAGTTTCCTTTGAGAAAGTCCCAAAAACAAAAAAAACTGGTGTGAGCCATTCTTTGGGACTTAAAAATATTTAAAGAACAGATTTTGATCATGGCCAAACAGATATCAGATAAATTTTCAAAAACAACTCTCAAAATCTATGGCCAAATGCTAGCTAAGTATTTTGTATAAGAGCTACATAAGAGATGATACATATCCTAACTGAGAATTAAAATGGAAATATACACATAATACAAAGAGAATCAGAATGCTCAGAGGAGACATCATGCTCCTACTTTAGAATCTTTTAACGCTTGGCTTTGGTAAACTAAATGAGTTAGATTTCTCATATGGTCACTCATTTAACAGTTCTAAAAAAATCGAAAATCGAAAAATCAAGCATAACTTTCTGACATAATAATTATTAGTTGTATAAACTAAATTACTCCGATCCTGTAACATAGCAACACAGAAAACGATATATTGAGCAACAATTTTTTTAAATTAAAGGTCAGAAAATGCCTTAAAATTAGTACATGATGAAGGAATCTTACAGGGAGGATAAGAGAGCAAGCAATAAGTGAGGCAACAGATGAAATTGCAGCGCATATGAACCGTCGGATCAAATGCGATTGAAACGAATCTGGCGGCGGTAATCGGAGAATCAACGTCGGAGCATATAAAATCGCAACATACAAAATCGCCATCGCAGTGCACGCAATCACTGCAAGCGATTTCGATACACCACCGCCGTCAATGACGGAGTCGCCGGTGAATGCTACTTCCATCGTCGCCGGATTTAGTAGCAAATAATAATAATACATAAATTACAACACAAATTCGTTAAACAAAAACACTGCTAAATAGTTTTTATATTTTGCTTTAACGGAAGAAATTGGTATTTTTATTTTTATTTTTTTACTGTTCTTCGGCAGCCTTAGCATGGGTAGTTTCGTCAATTGAAACGAACAGCTAGAGTACAACTTTATAAGTTCGATTTTCGATTTAATCTGTATGTAACTTACGTCATTATTATACTAAGTACGCTATATAACAACAATAACATATCCCTTGTAATTCATTATTCTATTTTACTTTTTTATAATTTATAAATCTTTTAAATTTTAGATATGGTTTAAATATTTTTTCTAACAAACTAAAAATCATATGAGAAAATATTAAAACATGGTCTAAAATCTTATAAGTCAGATAAACGTTAAATTGGTTTATGAAAATGAAAATTATATGAGGAAATTATTAAACTTGAGTGTAATATTAGCTAACAAAATAATTTTTCAAGAGCTATATTTACACAATTTTTAAAAATAGAAACAAAATCTAAATGTTAACCTAAAGAAAAGAAACAACAACAATACTACAACAACAACAACAACATACCCAGTGAAATCCCACTAGGTGGGGTCTGGGGAGGGTAGAGTGTACGCAGACCTTGCCACTACCTCATGGAGGTAGAGAGACTGTTTCTGAAAGACCCTCAGCTCAAGTACATCAAATCCAAGTAAAAGGCGAGGAAAACAGTGTATAAAACATACCATCCAATAAGAAAGATAGTATATAATCAACAAAGGAGACAGTAACATCAATAGAACAATGAGAGAAGTGAAACGCAGTAAACAACATAAGGCTATAGGTATCACAGACAAGAACTGCAAGTGCAAGGCTAGGACTACTACACACGCTAACAACCCATACCCTCGCAAGGAAAGACAACATGGTAGCCCTACTAACCTTCAACCTTAATACGCGACCTCCACTCCTTCCTATCTAGAGTCATGCCTTCGGTAATGTGAAGCTGAGCTAAGTCCTGTCTAATCACCTCTCCCCAATTCTTCTTAGGCCTACCTCTACCCCTTCGCATACCCTCTACAACCAGCCCCTCACACCTCCTCACTGGGGCGTCTTCGCACCGTCTCTTCACATGTCCAAACCATTTCAGTCTCGCTTCCCTCAACTTGTCCATCACAGAGGCCACTCCCACCTTCTCCCGAATAACTTCATTCCTAATCTTATCACTCCTAGTGTGCCCACACATCCATCTCAACATCCTCATCTCCGCAACCTGCATTTTCTAAACATGTGAGTTCTTGACTGGCCAATACTCCGCTCCGTACAATAAGGCCGATCTAACTACCACTCTGTAGAACTTACCTTTAAGTCTAGGTGGAATTTTCTTATCACACAAGACTCCAGAGGCAAGCCTCCATTTCATCCAAGCAACCCCAATGCGGTGTGTGACATCATCATCGATGTCGCCACTTCCTTGGATTACAGACCCAAGATACTTAAAACTTTCTTTCTTAGGAATGATCTGTGTGGCAAGTCTCACTTCCACATCTGCCTCATCCAACGCATCACTGAATTTGCACCCCAAATATTCTGTTTTGGTCCTGAAAGTAACCAGATTGTTTTCAATGACCATCGGCTCAACGACTTTTTTGGACATAGTGTAACCCGGCCCAAATTTTCAACCCCATAGCCCATAGATAATAGGGGACGCAATAGGCCCAAATATAAAATGCCTAACCCAATCAGTTTTACTGATCCCAGTAGAAATTAGGGTTTCTTCTCTCCGTCGCCGTTGATACGGTTGTTGCCGGTGGTCCTCCGACAGTTCAGTTATTCCCGTCGGAATTCTCGTCCTATCTAGGTAAGTTTTTTTTTTCATCTCTTTACTATTGCCTTAAGTTTTTCTTTAGTTTATAGAGATCAGAGATATGATTTGGAAAAATTCAATCTTTAGTTGTTCTAGTTTGCCTTTGAAGTTTTGATTTTTCTTCTGATTTCTGAACTTAATATGCTTTGTTTTCTTTTGTTATTGCATTGTTGTTGCTGAGTATTAACTACTTAATTGTTTGGTGTTGTTTTAATTTTGTGCTTGTTTCTGTTATTTTTGAACAATTTATTTTATGTCTCCTAGTCTAATATTCTGTTGTTTCTATCTCGTCTTGCTCGTTAGTCGTTTTTGTCTCCTTTGAATCATTTCTCGTTTAGTTGTGTGCTCGTTTATCGTTTTGGTCTCCTTGCTTGTTTAATTGTGTGCTCGTTAGTTGTTTTTGTCTCCTTGCTCGTTGAATTGTGTGCTCGTTAGTCGTTTCAACTGATGGAGCCCTTCTGCGCTATAACACTCCTTGCCTCCTGATCAGTCTTCGTACAATTTTGCTGATATTGTGGCCTTGACCTCTCTTCATTCCTTCCCTTCCTTTTTTCACCCAAGGGTGTGGCTTAATGATCAATGACGTGTGTTGAGCATGATGAGGGTCTCATGTTCAAATTCGGTAAATACAAAACACTAGTTGATTTCTTCTCATCTGGTTTAGCCTTGGTAGATAGAATTACCTTGCACTATAATGTGCGCTATAATACCCCTTGCTTCATGATTGCAGTCCTTGTTGGTCTGTTATCATGCTGGGATAGTGTCCTTGACCTCTCTTTCTTCCCTTTTATGTCAAGATCATCTTGGTTTGCATTTGCACGTAGGGTGTGGCTTAGTTGTCAATGAAGTGGGTTGTGCACTATGAGGTTTCGATTTCAAATCCCAATATAGACAAAACATTAGTTGATTTTTATCCATTTGTTCTATCCTTGGTTGATAGAGTTTCCTGGCACTAGGTGTGCAACTGGTAGACACCATGGCTATCAATAAACAATATTTTGCTTTCTTCCTGCAATCAATAGTGCTTGTGAGTTGTGAGATATTGATATGTGTTGTCATCATTAAATCACTTAGGATGCTAACAATTATTAGAAAGCATATATCTGTATCTACTCTATACAAGTAAGTTTGCTGGACTGTGTGCTCATTTTTTTCTACTACATGTTTTTCTACCGCAGGATATATCCACCTTGCTGTAGCAATTTTTCTCCATTAGTTGGATAAAGAAAGCTCTTTAGACAAACAGAAGAAATGGTAAGTTCTCACTTACACAATAGCCAGTGTTTTGACTAAATTATCCTTAATTACCCACCATCTAATTAACATAGTTTCTTGATTACATAAAAAACTCACTTATCTAAATAGGGGTAAATTTGGAAGAAAATAATTAATTCCTTCTTGATTATTTAATTGGACACTTATTTTGAACCAAGATTAAGGTTAAGCGGACATACATTTTGAACCGGAGGGAGTACTTTATTTTTGTAAAAAGTAGTTGAAAGCTTTCTAGATTTTCTTAGTTGGGATAGAAAGAGAAAAGAAGAAAAAGATTCTCAAGGTATTTGTTGATGAGAGGGAGGTCAAAGGGTTAACTGTTACCTGTTAGTAAAGGTGCAGTGTCATGTTTTTTATGCAACAGCAAGGAGGAAATGTGTAAATTCTTTTATTGAATGTCAGTTGTCATAGTTACCTCATACACTTTCTTGTTTCTCTGTTCAGTCTGGCCGAAAAGAAACAGTTTTAGATTTGGCAAAATTTGTTGACAAGGGTGTGCAAGTCAAGCTTACTGGTGGAAGACAAGGTGCGTCATGCAATGTCTTTATCATTACTCATTAGAATGTTCATCCACTCAAACACACCTTTCCTTGTCAAAACAACGTATTCCTCTCTATTTGTCAGTTTGTGACTTGTTTTACCTCTTTGTCATGCTCTCTTGCTGTTGCTTATGGGGTTATGTGGTTGATACTTGATACGTCATCATATAGTCAGTCAGGGTTGAGAGTTGCACAAATTACAATCTTTTTTTTCTGCTGATTAATTCTCTCTTCACAGTGGTAGGAACACTTAAAGGCTATGACCAACTGCTTAATCTTGTCTTGGATGAAGCCGTGGAGCACCTTAGAGGTAACACAATTATCATAGCAGTATTTCGGAGTTTAAATTGACTTCAAAATGCATTTGTTTTAGTTTTTTATGTAACTTTTTTTTGGAAATTTTAACTTAATCATCAAATGGTGGTCAGTCGAGGAAATGTATTGTTTCTTATCTCACATGTTCTGCGTTATGTTAGCGTCCACAAGTTTTACGTGTCTGCGCTGATTCTGTATATTTGTTTTATCATTTTGTTAAGTGGAATAACCTTTTCCTTGGAATCCCTTCATTATTTTTCAGTACAATGGAGCAGCAAATTGCTTAATTAGATACTAGCTACTCATCATTTTGTGGAATTTCATTTGTTGTACAGTTGATGATTTTAATTTTTTTTGCCATAGATGCCGATGATCCCCTGAAGACCACCGATCAGAAACGAAGTCTTGGCTTAATAGTATGTGTTCATTTATCATACATTTATAGCAATTTTCTATTTTGCAGTAAGCTTCTGAATGTTCCTTCTGTCCAACTACTGGAACCATCATTGAGCACAAATAAATTTCTCACCACATTTGCTTTTTACCCTTTTTATTGGGGACAGAAGTTCCTTAACATGAGTAGTTATGGCAGTGTTTTTTAAATTGCTTTGTCAACTGTTCAAACTTTCTTTCAAAAAGTACTGTTATGTATTTCATCGTATTGGCATCAAAACAATCCCAGATTGTTCCATCTCTAGTTACGAAAAAGTGTTTCAAACGTTTTGTAGGCATAAAAAAGCACATTGATAGTGTCAAGCATATCCTACAACGGAGTTTTATGTGTGAATAGTAGTATTTCATTTGAATTTTGAAGTATACACTTAGGTACTATATATTCTCTCAAAGAACATATACCTTTTAAAGAAGTGTCATAACTTTGGTTCAAGAATTTATTACGGCCTATGTTGCTCGCACTCTCCAAAAATTCTACAGCACCCATGTCAGATGTTCCAAAAGTACACTATTTTTGGAGGATCCGACATGCACGGTATTTTTGAAGTGTCCGAGCAACTTAGATTACTACTATGGTAAGGTAATGTGGTAGTTAACATAAATTTGACCTCTTTTCTCTGCTTCTTGCCTTCCTTTCATGCACAGGTCTGCAGGGGTACTGCAGTAATGCTCGTGGCTCCAACTGATGGTACAGACGAGATATCCAATCCTTTTGTCCAGCCAGACGGGGCATAGGGGAATCAACCTTGTTATTTCAAATTTAGCTCAACTGTAATGCTGTAAACAGTCTGCACCTTCGCCTTTTATTTGCAAAATGTTTACTGTTTCTATTAGAGAAAATGCTTCTTCTAGCGGAAATTGGAGATAAGTACTATATGGTAGCAAAGCTGCAACTGCTGCTGCTCCATTTTGTGTCGTCAATACATTTTCTTGTTGATGTAAAGTCATATTAGTTCCCATTTCACCTGTGACAATGTCAGATCTGTATCAAACGTCGACTTCTGGCTTCACTATTTCTCGATTTGTGTCTGTCATTCTTGATGGGTCATGTATGCTAATCTTCTCTTATTACCTGAACTGTGTCTTCATCGTTGTACAGGTGCTTGAGTACACACACCTCTCATGTTTGGTACACATTACTAATCGTTGCATAACTAACCTCACCTATACTAGAGTATAACTTGTCTGGTTACTCGAACCTCAATCGGTTTTTGATTCTGATACCATATTGAAGTTTGTAAACATTTCAGGCTTATAAACACTATTAAGTAAATGCATAGTTCTATGGCTCATTATAACAGATACGATAGTTCAAAAATTATTTTAGATTGCATATTTCTATGGCTCCGCCCATATTATCCCATATAAATCCAAATTAATCAAAAGTAAAATGTCAATGTCCTTCAAATTGTATTCAATTTATTTATACTCAATATATAAATAAAATATAATTCTGAATAATTAAATATTTATCATCACACCAATACAAATAGATAGATTTAGTTGTTTCGATATTAAAAATCAATTTTTAATTTATCTTTTTCCCTTCTAGTACATATTTTTGTACACCAGGAAAATGGGTCTTTTCAATATAATTTCTCCAATTAATTTTTGTCACATCAATTTCAAAGCCTCTTTTTTCTTCTTCAGACATGTCTCCCGTTAGCTTTCGTACGTTGCCATTGTCAAACCTAGCAAAAGAAAAAGAGTTATTTATCGAATAGTCAGACCTCAACGCGAATATCAGATATCGATCACATTGAGTGAGAGAACGAAAAAAGTATTATTTTTTAGACAGGACTTGGCTCTGCTTCACATTACCGAGGACATGACTCTAGATAGGAAGGAGTGGAGGTCGCGTATTAAGGTTGAAGGTTAGTAGGGTTAGTGTGTTGTCTTCCCTTGCGAGGGTATGAGTTGTTAGCGTTTGGAGTAGTCCTAGCCTTATGTTGTTTACTGCATTTCACTCCTCACATTGCTTTCTTGATGTTATTGTCTCATTTGTTAATTATACACTATTTTCTGTATTGGTTGTTATGTTTTATATATTTCTCTCCTTTCACTTAGATTTGATGTACTTGAGCTGAGGGTCTCCCGGAAACAGCCTCTCTACCTCCACGAGGTAGTGGTAAGGTCTGCGTACACTCTACCCTCCCCAGACCCCACCTAGTGGGATTTCACTGGGTATGTTGTTGTTGTACACATTTATTACTCATGATGTTTTAGTAACTACATATCCTCTCTAATCCAATTTTTATGACGTGTTTGACTGAATTTTAAGAATATTATTTACTCCAAACAAAGAATCAAAAGACAAATTGATCAATTACTTGTACTATGTACTAAAGATTTTAATAATGACATGCTCTTTCGTCTCAATTTATATTTGAAATTTATGGTCTGAAGTCATAAATGTGCATATAAAAACTTCTCATTAAAGATAACTGAAAAGTTTAAAGTTAACTTAATTATAAATATAGAAATATATTATTCTTTTCAGAACAGATCGTATCGAAAATATTATAAATTAAAAAATGAGAAATTAAATATCCTACGTACCAGCCTTTGTAGAACAAGTAGGGTTCGTAGAGTTTGCTGAAGTTCTTCAAATATTCAACTTTCTTTTTAATTAAACGTATTTGGATCTTTCTAAGCTCTTTTTCATCTTGTACTTCATGCTGCTTGGATCCCCCCTCAATGCCTTCTGAGTCGAGCCTGTCGCATAGGGCTTGCTTAGTGCGGTTTACATCCCATGTGTGATTTGCAGGCTATTACACAGTGGGGGGTTTACCCAGTGCGCACAAAGTGCTCACCCGAAGGGCAGAGGTTGTAGCGGCTGCGGGTTATCTGGGTTCCAAAAAAAAAAATTATCTCCTTTTGAATTAACAAAAGGAAATAATTTGAAAAAATCATAGGAATAGTCAAAAATTTGAGAAAATGAGAGAGGATTTATAGATGATGATGCCACATGATAAACATTTAGTTGTGGATTTTGCAAATTTCCATGTTTTGCCATAGCAGCAATTGTTGTATTTACAACCATGTCAACTGGAACCTATATCAAGTGAACAAGTTAGAAATTATGTTAACTAGACATAGAGTTTAAGAAATAAATAAAAATATATTATCTCTAATAACTTAAATTTTTAAAATGAGATGGATACACACTTCAATATGATATATATCAAAGTAAGCAATATTGGTCTAGGGTTCGAGTGTCACCATCACACCACCACCTATTACTAAACAAGAATATTCATGTGTTTGAACCATGAACAAAAATTAAGTCAGGACTTGAGTGAGCGTATGTGTACGTATATCAAAGATATAATAAAATGAGATGGTCATATACTTCAATATTGTATTATAGTAGGTAGTACTAGTCCAGATTTTATCAAGTCTTGCCTCTATCAATTATTTCCACGTGTTTGGCTCATAAGAAAGAATTTAGGTCGAGAGGTGAGGGTTTATTGAAAATATAATTCAGTTTTACTCTAATATATAAAATTTTAAATCATATGGTCATCCACTTCAATATTGTATCAAAATATATTGTACTAGTCTAGGGTTCGAGTCGAACTGTCGCTCTTTATTAAAAAAAAATATCATGTGTTTGGGCCATGATAAAAAGTGAGGTCAGAATGTAAGGAACCGTAAGTCATGTGTTTCTCTATGGCTTAAATTTTTTAAATGAGATGGTTACATACTTCAACATTTATCATCATAGGCAGTTCTAATCTTGATTTCAAGTCTCGCCCCCACCAATTATTTCCAAGTGTTTGACCCATATAATAGGAAATTAGGCCGAGATGAAAAGGCAAACATGTTGAAGATATAATTAAATAAATAAAAAAATGTATTTTCCCTAATATCTTAAGCATTAAAATAAGATAGTGCAATTTATAACTATGTTGATATCTTTCTATCTCCAAAACGAATCAGGCCACATGTGAGAAATGTGCGAGTTGAAAACATTAGTAAGTAATTAATTAAAAATATGTGCTATTTAATCAGTCAAACATAAAATAAATGACATTGTCACACACTTCAACATTTTCAAAGAAAACATAAAGTTTTAATTAGGAAGTAAGAATTTAAATTAAACAAATCTCAGAGAAAATAAATTAAAGATGTGGTCAACATATATACATAAAACTAGACATGGTCATTTCATAAAATCCCTTTGTGAACCGATACTATTGGTGGGAAGTGAAAAAATTCAAATGTTAAGTTTTTCTCTACCTTTCACACTATATATATAATCCTTCTCTAAATCTTTTATTTCACCAAATTCCCATTTCTCTCTTTCATTTGCTTTCTCTATTATTATTTTTTGTTCTCTCCCAATGGCCAACTCTCATGCTAAGAATGTCTCCCCTCCTCCTCCTCCCCCTCCCTAATCTCCATCTCCATATTCCCCTACCCCTTCCCCTCCTTGTGTTTGCAAGGAGGCTACACCAACTGCTGACACTGAGATCTTAGGGGTTTATGGAAGTAGCGCCCTCATCCACTCAATCAATTCTCCTTCTAGAAAGAGGGGTAGCATGCTGAATGCTGGGGAAGGAACATCTGTGGTTCGAGCAAAAAGGCCCAATGTTGAAGCTTTTAGAGCAGCAACAACAATAGAGGACACATCAATATTGAGATCGTTGGAGTTTTCATCAGTTGTAAATGGTTCAAATGATGGTGAACATGATGACCAGTCAGAATCCCTGTCCCAGTCAGGAACATACGAATTCACTTTTGGATGAGAATGTATGTGAATGATTAACGATGTCAGCGTATCAAACACAATTTCACATACATAGCATGTTCTCATGCTCTCTGATAGCTCTAGTGATTTTGGTGCTGGTACAAGTGTAGGTGGAGGCACAAACGCAGATGCAAGTGCACTTGGTGCAGATTATGAACCTGTTGCACCTGCATATGCGCTTGTGACTCCACTTGCACCTACACCAGCACCAGCACCAGAATCATTAGAGTTGTTAGAGAGCCTGAGAACCTTCTATGTATGCGAAATTGTGTTTGATACGCTGACATCGTTGATAATTCACATGCAATCTCATCCAGAAGTGAATTTGTATGTTCCTGACTGGGATGGGGATTCTGACTAGTCATCATATTCACCATCATTTGAACCACTTACACCTGATGAAATCTCTAACGATCTCAATGTTAATGCGTCAGCTGCTGCTGTTGCTGGTCCAAAAGCTTCAACATTGGGACTTTTTGCCCGAATCACATATGTTCCTTCCCTAGCATTCAACATGCTTCCCCTCTTTCTAGGAGGAGCATTGACTGAGTGGATGGGGACACTACTCCTATAAACCTCTAAGATATCAGTGTCAGCAGTTGGTGTAGCCTCCTTGCGGACACAATGAGGGAAAGGGGCAGGGGAAGATGGATGGGGAGATTGGGGAGGGGGAGGGGGAGGAGGAGGAAGGGGGGGGGGATTCTTAGCATGAAAGTTGGCTATTGGGAGAGAGCAAAAAATAATTATAGAGAAAGAAAGTGAAAGAGAAAAATGGGGATTTGGTGAAATAAAAGACTTAGAGAAGTAATATATATGTAGTGTAAAAGATAGAGAAAAAACTTAGCATTTGAATTTTTTCACATCCCACCAATAGTGTTGGTTCACAAATGGCATTTATAGAATGACCATGTCTAGTTTTATGTATATATGTTGACCACATCTTTAATTTATTTTCTCATGATATTTGTTTAATTTAAATTCTTACTTCCTAATTAAAACTTCATGTTTTTTTAAAAATGTTGAAGCGTGTGACAATGTCATTTAAAATTATGTTTGATTGATTAAATAACACATAGTTCTAATTAATTACTTAATAATGTTTTCAACTCACACATTTTTCACATGTGGCCTGATTCGTTTTGGAGATAGAAAGATTTCAACATAGTTATAATGTTCGCCATCTGTAATACCATGTTGAAAAGTTTGGGTGCTTCGAGTCTTCCCCCTTCTAGGAAAGCAAAGGGTTAGAAGTGAATTATTCATAACCTTAAGTTAAACTCATGATAAAAAGTACTGGAATTAGCACCAATATATTGGTGAGTAGTGGCATAGGCAGAAAATTCGTGAAGGGTGTCCAAAATAAATCCAACATAGAAAAAAAATATAGTCATGGGGAATTGAACCTCAATGGCAAACAAACTTCTTCACACTATTGCCACTAAGCTACCACTCTATATACAACAAAGTATTTCGTTTTTCATTCAATTAACCATTTTATAGCAGACCACACTAAACAAAATATATAAAACATAGATGCAATGATTCGAACTTGGGTATTGTGTACATATTGGAAACAGATTTTCCACTGAGCTACGACTCATTGTTGTTGTTTAGGGTGTTCAAAATGCTTAATATATCAATATAAAGTAATATTTAACGCGACAATAGTACTAAGAGGGCTAATTTAATGTATAAAAAACAAGCTCAAGAAGGTTATTCTAGAAACAGATCACTAGGAATCATGAAAATGATACCTAGGGAATGGAAAATACCATAGGAGATACTAAACATAGTGGAAGAATCAAGACAAATTGTGGAACAAAACAACTTCAAAGTTCAGCATGTATACATGGAAGGAAATCAACTAGCAGATGTCATTGCTAATAGTGCTTGCAGTAAGTCGGAGGTACAGGAATACAAGCAGTTTGAATAACTACCAACTAATTGCAGAAGAATTCTAAACATGGACAAATCACAAATCACAAGTTTGAGAATCAAGACAAGAAAGATAAAAGACATAAACAACCAGTATGGACCACAGTTACATTAATCAAGATGTGGTGAATCTCACAAGATTTTATATGTACACATCAAGTTTTTTCCAATACTAGTGCTTAAAATCAGCGAGAAATAAAGAGCTACCTGCTTATAAAAGAGGAAATCAGCAAAAGTCGAGGACTATACATCCAAAGCACATCGTCCATTGTCATAGAGAGGAACATCGAGAGCAATATATTTAGATCCACAACTAACAACGGTGTTAGCTCTAGAAATCAGAACATACTAAACTAAGATAAAGGGGAAATTAGGAACATAAATGAGGAGGAAAATAAGGAGGAGTAGTACCTATTGAAAATGTCTAGTGGTACACCACCATGGTTGAATGCTGATGATCTAAAGGAGACAAAAGGAAAATCATTAAGGCGGCGCTGAGAAGAATGAGAAAGAGGAGGATTTGGAAACAAATGTTAGGGAAAGTGTTAAAATTAGGGTTAGAAAGAAAAAGGGTATTGATATATTTGGGCTAACTTTCCTTTTTAAAGTTGGGCCAGGCAGACATGTATTTTTTATATTTATGATTGAATAAACGAGCTTCAGGCTCAAATTTGATTTTAAAAAATAATATTTGACCTACATATATCATGTAATTTTTCAGCGAAGGGTGTCCAATCAATAACTCCGGCCCTGTTGGTGAGATCAAGTTTAAGCAATTAATTAACAATGCAAACAAAAATCAGAGTACTATTAAAAATAGCTCAACACAATAATTATCGATTATTGGAGATTCCAATGTTAGTAATTTCTATTTTGTGCACTCACATATTAATATATTATATGTAGATATGCTATTAATAAAGTAGTCCATTGTATGATCTAATAAAGTATTAAAGTTTGGAGCCTTAAAAGTAATTTTCTATTCATATGAGTATATTTTTTTAACACCTTGGTATTTGAAAGAGCTAAAATTAGAAAGAACTAAATTGGAAATAACAAAATCTAAAATATTGCAAGTTATGCTTAAGTTGTGAGTTTTGAGTCAACTTCAAACGATCATAACTTTCAGTACAAGATGATCTAGGTGGCCCATAAGATATCAAATGAAAGGTCTTGAAATCCTCTTCAACTCCACTGAGTTTGCTACATTTGGAGCTTGTATGAGGAAAATATGCCCATTTGAAGTCAGTCTGTCCAGTAAGGAAAGATACCCGAAATTATGAGGGCTATTTTAGTATTTTCCTTACACAATAAGATTAAAACAAAATCAGTAATTTTTTGGGGTCTAATCTGATTTGGGTCAGTTTTCAGTATCCCAAAATACGCTTATGGTTTTAGAAGAAAGTTCAAGAAGAGAAAGAGGAGAAAAAAGGGAAAGGTTCAAGGCATTGATCAAGATTTCTTGCGGATCGTGGGTTGTTTCTCCAAGGGTTTGATCCCTAAGAGGTATGTAAGTTCTCATAGTGTTGGGTTTGTTAACCCACACGCCAATCATGCTATTTCAATGTAATTTCATTCTTGAGGTTGAAGGATTTGAGTTCTTGATGAGTTTTCTTGAAATTCCATTTGTAATCTTGATTGTTAGGGTTTTGATGAATTCTTGAGATGAGTATTAGTAATTTGAAGGTTGTTTTGAGTGGATTATCGTGTACATATGTTGGGTATTCGAATCTAAGTGAGTGGGGAAGAAACCATTCGATTTTAGGCGAGTTAGGAAGGCTAGAGTGTCGCCTCACCATTGGGCCAACAGAGATGTTCTGTAGTATAGGGGAAGGCACCCTGCACCAGGGTCGCCTGTCCCAACCCGTTCTCCGTCGCTTAGCCCATCTAAGTTCTTTCAAAGGGTACGTTTACTCCATTTTGATTCTACCTACTCTACACTACTTCTAAACATCTAGAAATCATTCATAGCATGAATCATCATCTTGAATTAATAATTTAAATTCAAGGTAGAGTTAAGAGTCAAGTCTTGAGAGTTCTTTCGAGTCCTTTGAGAAGTCTTTTGTAAATATTAAGGCAAGAAAGTTAGTTTTATTTCGTATAAGGAAAATTCAACAGTGCCTAAGAATCGTTTTATTTCGTACCTTAATGCAAGAAAGTTAGTTTCCAAGGGGTGCATCTATCACTTAGTCCGAGTTAATGACTCTAGTATTGAGACACCACATATTCAGTCAGTTTTAGTTGTGAGTGAGTTTCCAAATAATGTTCCCGGAGTCCCTCCTAAGAGAGAAATAGGTTTTGGTATTGATATTATTCCCGATACTCGTCCTATTTCTATTTTGCCATATAGAATGGCTCTAGTTGAGTTGAAAGAGTTAAAAAAACAGATGAAAAACCTTCCTGAGAAAGGTTTCATTCGACCAAGTGTCTTACCTTGGGGGGCTCCGGTCTTATTTATGAGGAAGAAAGATGGTTCTCTTATAATGTATATAGATTGTCGTCAGTTGAACAAGGTAACTATCAAGAAGAACTATCCTCTTCCGAGAATTGATAATCTTTTTGATCAACTTCATGGTGCCACTTATTATTATCAGATAGACCTCAAATCTGACTATCATCAGTTAAGAGAAAGTTACATTCCAAAGACAACTTTCAGGATCCGCTATGGTCATTATGAGTTTCTAGTCATGTCTTTTGTTTGACTAATGCTCCTGCAACGTTCATGGATCTTATGAACATAGTGTTTAAGCCTTATCTAGATATGTTTGTTATCGTACTCATTGATGACATTCTGATTTATTCGAGGAATGAGGAGGATCATGCTAGTCATCTCAGAGTAGTTCTTCAAACTCTCAAAGATAAAAAGTTGTAAGCTAAATTCGCTAAGTGTGAGTTTTGGCTTGAGGCAGTGGCGTTCTTAGGCCACATTACTTCAGGTAATGGGATTCGAGTTGACACTCAAAAGATTAAGGCAGTGCAGAACTAGCCTATACGTATCTTTAACTGATATTAGAAGTCTCATGGAATTGACTGGTTATTATAGAAGGTTCGTCGAGGGGTTTTTGTCTATTTCATCCCTGTTGACTAAGTTGACTTAGAATACAACGAAGTTTCAATGGTCTGATGCTTGTGAGAAAAGTTTTCAGGAATTGAAAACTAGGTTGACTATTGCCCAGTGATGACATTACTAGAAGTTACACAAGATTTTGTTCCTGAAAATCATTGTACCAAAACATCTAAAGTTCAACAAGTCTAAGAAAAAGGGTACAACCGCAACCAGACATAAGTAAAATACTAAAACATGTCTAAGTCTGACAATAATGGACTAAGCAAAATGAAGGACTTCATGGCAGCCTGAAAGAACTGGCTCACTCTTGAAATCCGGTCTCGATCACTGATCTCATAGCTGAGGTCTATCAATACCGCCTGCAGATGCCTTATACTTAACAAAGAATGAGCTGGTGCAATATCAGTATACAACCATAGTATACTGGTAGGATCACGCGGCTATTCCAGTAAGCACAATATATATAAGCAATCACAACATAGTAAACACGCATATACAGAATATATATACAATTTCCATTTCAGGAGCAATGTACAATTTCACATTCTCAATAACAATTAGATATGACATCACTGTGGTCCTCTCATGGAAATCATACCCAAACTGTTCGTGTGCCGGAACCTGACACCCTATCCCAATTAGTGTGCCGAACGTGGCACCCGATCCAATGTATGTGTCAGAACGTGACACCCAATCCAATGCATGTGTCAGAACGTGACACCCGATCCAATCAACATAAGCACAATCACAATCACAATCACACTCATAATGTACATTTTCATAATTATACAATCAAGTGTCGATTCATGTCATACAATGGTTCATCATACTCATTTACATTAGGTTTGATCAATAGTGCTTCATTCACATACATACATGCATTACAATGAAGCAATTACTAATATACATCACACAAACATAAAATTAAACCATCACCTATCTTGAAACCAAGCTTGAATCCCCCTAAGGCACTTGAATCTTTCCTTTCTATATTCGTTCCACTTGTTCTAAGTCTACAAACAATTAATATACGCAAGGATTAATAAATTAAGGCCTAATAATCCAGATTATAACAACCCAATAACCCAAGACCAAACCCATGATCCTAAGGTGCAACTAGGGCTTTTTCCCACCATCAACTTTAGGCCAAAACCCTCCCCCAGCGAAAATTACTGATGAATTTACATTCCACGGATCGAAAAACGGATTAGGGGAGTAAAATTCTTACCTCTAGCACCAAAAGTCGTGGAAAAATGTCAAGAATGTGTCCTGTGTCGTCTCCTAACTCTTAAGAATGAAGTTTGTAGAAAAATAACGAAATTAGGGTTTTTCCCGGACTTAAGTCGTGATTGGCCCGCCATAACGGACTCCATCCTGCCACAACGACCCCTCCATGGCAGGATAAATCCCGCCCCGACGGCTTATAATGTGACAGAACCTCGGAATTTGAGTTTCAAACCCCCATTTCACAACACACCCTCAACCATTGACGTTCAAAAACTACCCGTTCACGCTAAGATCAATTTTGGGAGTTCTACACGCCTGAATTCTATTCAGTAAAGTCGTACGGGCACCTGAATGTCTTAGTTATCCACTCATATAATCAAATTCATTATAGAACCTCTCATTCATTACCAGATTTCCCTAGACCTCACAAGACTCAGATTTCGTCCAAATCTGGACTAGACTAGGAATTTTCAAGTCACTACTCAAAAGTTTTCTGACCCAAATTCTTTCCACATTGACTTTTCCCTAATGACGGAAACAGGTCGTTACAATTCACCTCTCTGCCTGCACCCAACTTTTCTTATGGGTCTGCCACCTTACAGAGACCCATGAAGTTGCAGTTGACAAAAGAAAAGTGAAGTTCAGATACATTGATTAAAACAAAAGTTACTTCACATGTATTGATTAAAAAAAGAAAAAGTAAACAAAATATAAACTACATTATATATGAGTACAATAATATAACACAAATATTTGTAATAAATTAAATTAAAACTCATGCGAAATGAAATTAAAATATATTAAATTAGTCGAGTTTATAAACTAAAAAATGAAATAGAATATTTCTTTTAAAAGTTTGTCAATCTAAAAATCGATCAATCCTTCTTTTTAAACGTTTCCTCGTTGGCATGAGTGTCATGGATAGCATGAAGATGAATAAATTAATAGTTAGGGCTATTTAGAGAGGGTACAAAGATCACACTATCAATTGAAAGTCACATTACATATGATATGTCTTCATCATACAAATAAAATTGTGGCTTTCTGAATGATTTTGGCTGTAAAATCAGAAGATATATATTTGTTGCTGTTGGCTTTCAATAATTTTAGTATTTTGAAGTCAATTACAAAGATGTGACTTTAAGATTCCATAAACTACCATAGTTAGGAGTTGTAAAACTTTCCATATTAAGAGTTAAAAAGGTGAAAGACTCTTAATGTGAAACAAAAGGAGAAATTGTATAAAATTGCAAACTATTAATTCAAATTAAAGGTTATAACCACAATTTTATTTAATTGTAATATGTAACAAACACTTGTCATTCGTCTATGGAGCTCAATTATGAAAACTATAACTATAACATACAAATATTTTTTTTATGTTTGTTAAACCTAAAATTTACTCTTTATACTGTTAGAACTCCTACCTTATTATTATCTTTTAATTACTTTGTAACGGTTCAGCCCACTAGTAATATTGTCAGCTTTGGGCCTAGGCCTGCACGATTTTAAAACGCGTCACTAATTGGTATGGTATGCTTACTTATATACCTACATCTCTCTAATTGGTATGGTACGATTTTAAAACGCGTCACTTTATCCGTTTTCTTTTACTTGTCAATTATTCCTAAAATAAATATTCATTTTTACTTGTCACTTTTTATATATCAAGAAAAGACAATAATTTTTTTTACATGTTTTACCGTTAGTATTAAATATTTATTTTCTAAATCATTTTTCAAGACATCATTTAATAGGGAATAGTTTGGTAGAATACCTATATAATTAATTATTTTCTTAATTTGTGTGTCAAATCAAAATGTAATAAAGTAAAAATGAACTGAGGGAGTACTTTTTATCCACATTAAGGCTCCTACCTATTCAATGAGTATATTATGTTTATTAACATCAATATGTAATATATAATATTAAAATAAGGTATAATAATTTAAGAGAAACGATGAAAAGACGATTTTATCTAAAATAAAGTCTTTTAGTGAAGGATCAAAAGTTCGAACAATTGATGTCCGTATTAGGGAGGCTAAGTAACGGATGAAATTTTAAGTTTTTATGACTATAACTTAAATTTATTTTGGACATAAACATAAAATGTATTTAGAATCTTATAATCGCAAGTTGAGCCATTAAATTCATTATTATCAGCCATTCATATCTTTTTCTTTAGTTTATACTCAGAAATATATTCATGTATAAACAACAATAGTTTAAATATGCTCCTTATTATCGAAAAAAAATATCAAATATATTCATGATAATTCTAATTAATTAAAGCTTTATCTTCTTTTAGGGGTTGTTGAAGTCTTTGATTCATCTAAAATTAAATTTAAAGAATTAAAACACAACATACTTTTAATTACTTAATAATATATTTGCAACACATGTAAGCACCCCAAACGTGAATCCAGAATTTAAAGATTTTGGGTGCATCAAATATGATCTTTAAGTAAATTTTTAATATAAAAATAATGAAATAACACTTTAGCTAGATTCGAACCTTGGTCTTGCAAGTGGTTCCCCTACCTTGTACCAACAAAACAAGAACACTCATATACTTTTCATGGGTGCACTGTTAATTATATCCTAGTTTCTATCAGTTTCTCGAGATAGATATACATATCTACACATGATTTTTTTTCGAAGCTAACGGGTACTCGTGCACCCCCACTTAGAAAGGTAGGTATCCGCCTCTGAGCACCCCCACTTAGAAAGGTAGGTATCCGCCTCTGAGCACCCCTCACTTGTGGCTTGATTCTCTCTGAAGACGGAGAGACTTCAACCTATACTACGTTCGTCTTCTCTAATACCATGTTAAAGAGTGTAACTCTTTCGAAAAGATCTAAAGGTTAGGAGTGAACACTTGTTTTTTTTAGCCTACTTGGAGTATATAATTGTTAATTAGCACAAATTTATAGGTGTGATGAAATCAAGTTTATGCAATTAATTAATAATGTTAACAAAAATTAGAGTAGAAGATTCATAACAACCTGCAACAGCCCAATATTCTTCTGTTTAATAATAAGTGTTATCTTAGTTCATTTTACGTTCATTATTGTATATAAGATTAAAGATTGACCTTAAAATTTTAATTTCAAACCCTAGAATGAAATAGCATTATACTCTCAGAAAATTAAAATCTAAACTAATCCTACAAAATAAAATAGGAATCAGTGGCAAACAATCTCTTTTTATTAAACAACAAACAAGTACACCCAATAATATTACAATCATAAATGAAATATAATCTTGAATAATTAAATGTTTATCACACAACGCACAAAAAAATACTCTTAATTAATTGTTCCAATATTAAGAATTAATTTACCCTTTTCCCTTCTAGTACATATTTTTGTACACCAGGAATATGGGTATTTTCAATATAATTTTTCCAATTAATTTTTGTCACATCAATTTCAAAGCTTCTTTTTTCTTCTTCAGACATGTCTCCCATTAGCTTTCGTACATTGCCATTGTCAAACCTAGCAAAAGAATTTTTTTTTTTCTGGAATAATCAGGTCTTAATACGAATATTGAACATCGAGTATAAGTTAAAAAGATAATTTTTTTTAGTAATTACCATTTCTCATGATATTTTAGTAATGACATATTATTTCTGTCTTAATTCATTTATGTCACTATAAAACATTTCATTTAAGAAATATCAGAGTCATGTATTGATCGTGTCATAAATATTATAAATTCAAAAATGATAAACTAAATATCACACGTACCAGCCTTTGTAGAACAAGTAGGGTTCATAAAGTTTGCTGAAATTCTTCAAATATTCCACTTTCTTTTTAATTAAACGTATTTGAATCTTTGTTAGCTCTTTTCCATCTTGTACTTCATGCTGCTTGGATAATACCTCCCAAATATAATTTTCAAAATCTGATATTTTGTCAAAAAATCTCATTTTTTTAACCTCATATTTATCTCCTTTTGAATTAACAAAAGGAAATAATTGGAAAAAATCATAGGAATAGTCAAAAATTTGAGAAAATGAGACAGGATTTATAGATGATGATGCCACATGATAGACATTTAGTTGTGGATTTTGCAAATTTCCATGTTTTGCCATAGCAGCCATTGTTGTATTTACAACCATATCAACTGGAACCTATATCAAGTGAACAAGTCAGAAATATGACCTACGTTGATTAGACACAGAGTTTAAGAAATAAATAAAAATATAAATTTGTAATAACACAAAAAATTTAAATGAGATGATTACACATTTTAACATGATACATATCAAATTAAGTAGTATTGGGCTAGAGTTCGAGTTTACGTGTTTGGCCTATATGAACGAGAATCAAGTCGGGATGTTGGCGGGGTGGGGGGGTTGGCATACGTGTACGTATATCAAAGATTATTAACTGAGATAGTCACACATTTGAACATGTGTAACAGTAGGTAGTATTGGTCCCCCTGAGTGTGATCTCACGCACTCCCATTTATTTCCATGTGTTTGGCTCATAAGAAGGAATTAAGTCGGGACATGAGAGCATGTTGAAGATATAATCATTACATAAAAGGCATAATACATAAATGTGCCCTTTAACTTGGCCTTATTTTATGTTTATGTCCTCCAACTTTGGATATGCACAAGTAGACATTTTAACTTGTATAAAGTTGAACAAGTAAACACATGAGTCCTACATGGTACAATACACGTAAGACATAAAAATGACATGTAGGATGTCATGTAGGACATGTGTGTCTATTTGTTCAACTTTATACAAGTTTAAGTGTCTACTTGTGCACACCCAAAGTTGAAGGGCATAAATGTGATTTGAAGCCAAGTTAAAGGGCAATTTTATGTATTATGCCTAAATAAAATGGGTTCTCTAATATCTTAAATTTTTAAATGTAAGGGTCACTCATTTCAACATTGTATCAAAGCATGTAGTATTGATCTAAGGTTCGAGTTGAACAGGGGCCATAAAAAGGAATCAGGTAATTGAATTGTAGGGAGAGTACGTATCGAAGATATAATTAAATAAATAAAATATTATTTTCTTTAATATCTTAAATATTAAAATAAAATGGTCACATACTTTAACAATAACGGACACAATTATAAATATTAAATATATTGAAAAAGTATACTTACCAAATCAACAAGACAATTAGGATCAGCAAGAAGGCCAGGGAGGTCACCCTTTCGATAGAAAAAGACTAATGGGTCGATTATCCTAATTATGACAAAGAGACAATTCGAAAAATAAAAAACATAAATATTTTTGCTAATTTATAAATAAGCAGAATTCATCGATAAATTTTTTAATTTGTCAATAAATTTAATTTAGATATTCGAATTACTATATCTTTTGATGGAGCACATGATCGAGTGTTTCTATTTGACACTTTTGATTCAAACTTTTTGAAAAAGCGTTTGCATGCGTTTTGATCAAGTGCCCAATACGCAAATAAGTTAATTAGCCACATAAAATATGTCAACTCCAATTCATTTATCATACGCATCAGCCTCAATAACTTGTAAAATCTCAAGTATGTTCCAATTAAAGGAGGTGATACATTTTATGTAATTAACTTATCTACATACGTAATTAGCGCTTGTGAACACATACAAAAAAAATTCTTCAACAGTCAGAAGTGTCTAATATAAATATTTTATCATGTATTCAAATGTTCAATTAAAACATAATATAATTCAAATATCTAAATAAAACTTACTAACAAATTTAAGAGATTGTCGATATACCTGAATCCTTGTATCCATCCAGGAAAAGGTTCTTTATAGCTACTTGTTATTCCAGAGGGACGAATAATAAGTATTGGAATTTCATCTCTCATATTATTTATCATCATTTCACCAATTGCCTTTGTAAATGAATATGTATCTTGCCATCCATATAACTTTCCCCTATTTAATCAACAAACATTAATTAATTTTAATAATATTATATTTATATAAAGAGAGAAAAATTAAATACCTCTCAAGTCCAAAATCCTTCATTATTTGTTCCAAACCAATATTATTTGTAATATTGTTCTTCAACTTTGAAATCAAATTCATTTCATTGTGAGCATCCAATGATGGAAAATTAGTATAAGGAGAAATTGAAGTGATTTTTTCCTTTGTTATGCTTTCTCCCATAGTAAAAGGCTTCTCCAATATTAACCCTTCTCTTTCTCCATTGGCAAATGCTTTAAATAAAATAAATTAATTAATTCAATATTGTACTAAAAAAATTTATCTGTTATTGTAAGTCAACTTAACATGATAGTATAAAAATCTATACACAGACAATGCATATATAAAACTCTTTTAAAAAAATATAAGATTCATATTGTAAATATATATAACTTAAACTCGATCAGATCATACCAGTGGAATAATGCATAAGAAGTTTAAGTTTCTTGCATTTCTTTGCAAACATCATGAGTTGATATGGACCATTCACATTAGCATCAAGAGCTAAATCATACCTAGAAACATAATTAAAACCAAAATAAAAATTAAAAAAAAACTGCTAATTAAATTGTGTATATATACTATAGTTGATAATTATTTATTTTTATTAAAGAGAGAGAATTAACCTCTCATCAAATGTAGTGATGGCTGCAGAGTCAACAATCAAATCAATTTCTTGAGCAATTTTGTCACTAGTAATAATATCCATACCAAGATTTGGCTCATATATATTTCCAACTATAGGCATCAATTTGTCCAATATGAATGACTTGTAATATTCACCATGCATTTCTTCTAGGCATTTGAATAATTCTGACTCCATAATCTGAATTTTAAACAAAATCAAGGTGTAAATAGTTTACTAGGGTGTCAAAAATGAACCCAAACATAGGTAACCCACCTAGAATTTTAAGGGTTGGGCTTAAGATAATTTGAATTGGGTGCAATCTCAACCCATTCAAGCCTAACCCATTTTACCCATTTAGAGAATCCTCAATTAAGCCCAATTCAGTCTCTAATTTCAACCCGTTTTAAAACTCTTTACTAAGATATGTTCCTATATTAAAGGTATGAATTATTATCTATTTAACATCTTTAGAATTTATCTATCCATTTGTTACTTTTTTTAAAAACATTATTGAGCGGAAATTCGAATTGTGATTATAAAAGTTAAATATCACTATGTTAAAATTATTGAGATTAATCGGGTCAAGACCCAACCCGTTTTTTAGCCCATTTGAGCCCAAAAGTAAACTTGGGCAGGTCAAGACCCAACCCGATTTCTATCTCAACCCATTTTAATATCTCCAATTTCAACTCAATCCGCCCATTTGACACCCCTATAGTTTCCTTACATTATCAGCTAGTCAGTGACAAAGTTTGAATTTTCAATAAGAAAAGTCAAAATACTCCTTCTGTATGTCTCAATTACCATGTTTTGTTTTTCGAAGGATCACAACAATTAAGTGATTAACTATATATATGCATTGTAATTTTTTTTGGCAAAAGTATGTCAATTGACACTTATTGGATAAAGGAGGCTCCAGACTAGGTATATACCATCGTCAAAGGATGGTCAATTGAAAATCTTTCGTCAATAAATTTATAGAAGAAAGAATTGTTAAACATACTTCAATTTTTAATCTGTGAAATGCAGCTTCCTTATCCTTTGCCCTGATGAGCAAATAGATCTTGTTTACCTTTGGTGTTGTTCTCAACATTTTTTCAATCAAAGCTGCAAAAAAAAAGTAAAAAAAAAATATATCATGTTATTGGAAAATGTCTACAGAAAAGGGTTGAATTTGTCTTTGAACTATGTCAAATATATATATAATATAGTATAAGTATATATCTGACACCTCGCAAATATTTACACAATCAGATCACTTCTTAGGTAATTATGTATAAATTTCTTAACAATAATAGAAATTAATGATAACTGACATGCTACTCTTTTGTCCCATTTTATGTGATGCATACCCCAATTCCTTCGTAATATGTCCAAAAAAAGATACATTTTTAAAATGTCTTTTTCTCTATTAAATTTCTTGTCGACTCAAAATATATCACATAAAATGAGAACAAGGAAGTATAATATAGGTTAAAATTCATAAGTCGTACTAAAAAAATATAATGTTTATACTGTAAGTGTATATAATATATATACCTTTTGCTAGGAACCCTGTAGCACCAGTGACAAGAATATTTTTCCCTTCGAAAAAATCAACAATCCCTATGCCATTATCATTACCATGCATGATTTTAAGTTGATGGTGTCCTACATTTTCAGATTTCATGCAAAACAATTTTTTTCTAGCTATTTTATGATTCTCAAATGATGAAATATTGTTACTATATTCAAACCTGGAAGAAAAATGTTTTTTAGAAAATAATTTAGTTGGTGATAATTCCCTTGTGTTAAGGGAGAAAATATTTGTGGAGAGAAGCATATTGGCAATTAGCAAAAAAAAACTAAAGAGAGAAGTTGTGGGATAGAAGCTAAAATGTTCTTCTCTATTTATAGAGCCAAAAATCTGCTTTTTTAATGTGTCACTTCATGAATATAGTAATATTGTATTATATATATTGACCAAATCTTTTAATTATTTTCTCCTGAGATTTATTTCATTTAAATTCTTAAATTCTAATTCAAACATTAGTGTTTTCTCTGAAAATGTTGAAGCGTGTGACAATCTCATCTAAAATTATATTTAACTGATTAAATAGATCATATTTTTAATATCTTACAAATGTTTTCAACATGTGTGCCCCTCACGTGTAGCTTGATTCTTTCTAGAGACAGAGAGACTTTTTAACGTATTTAGGACGTACGATTCTCTAATATCATGTTGAAGAGTACAATCATGTCTTCCTAATCAGGAAGGCCAAGGGTTAATTAAGATTGAATTATTCGTAACCCTAAGCTAAAATCATGTTAAGGAGTACTGGACAATTATGATTTTAGCCTACTTGGAGTATATAATTGTTAATTAGCACAAATAAATATTGGTGAGATCAAGTTTAAGCAATTAATTAATAATGTACTCTCTGTTTCTAATTACTTGTCTTTATTTTGAGTATAAAGTGTATTTTGGTCATATAGTACCAAGTTGAGCCATTTAATTAATTGTAAATAAGGGATTAACAATAGACATAATTTCGGAATTGAACAACAAAATTTTCAAGTTAATTCTATTCAGTTATAAATTAGCAATATTATTAAAAAAAAAAATCAGCTCGAATGTTTAGCAATATATCAGGTGGGATTATCGATAAATTTCTTAGCTAATTTTCTATTTTCTTGTAAAAAAAAATTTGAAAAAGAATAGTTGACATGACAAAATAAAATATTTTTATTTTGTATCATATAGACATAAACTCACAAATAAACTAAAATTTTAAAATATTTATATCTTAGACTCAATCCACCCACCCACAAATCAAAATTAGTCTTTATCTAAAATTCCTATTTCCCCTCTTTATTTCCAAGATTTTTTTTGTTTTTTCATCCCAAAGACCTCTAACTAAATTACGCAAATACAATAACTTATATGGTTAAAGTATCTTCTTTTAGGTGAGATATAAAAAAAAATATACATCTCTCATTATTCTTTGCCACAAATTACCCTTAATTGTTTTCAAATCATTTGTTTTTTGTTTTTTCATGTTTAATTCTACACACATTTATACCTTTTTATTTTTTATATCAATTAATAATTTCAATATTTTTCTTCATTACTTAGTACTATGGTCTAATTATTTAATTTTTCCATAGGTACTATTGTGTTATCAAGTGATGGTGTGCATTTCCAAATGTTTGGTGTACACATCTTATCAAATGTCATCAAATATTTATTTGAGAACAATACTTGTTGCGGTGATGTCAGAAATAATAATTTTAATTTTTAGGATCATTTGGTTTGAATATAAGTTATGATAATATTAGTTATAATAAAATAAATTATGTTGGATTAATTGTATTGAGATTATTTTTTGTTGAGGGTTTAGTTTGTTATATTCAAAACAATATGCATTGCATAAATTTTAAGAACAAATTGTTTGCTTGCAAAAATACCCTTTACTTTATTTAACTTTTTTTTTTGCAAGCTTTAATTATTCTTCTTAAAAATAAAGCTTTCATCTTATTTTAGCTTAAATACTTTTGTGTGTGCATTCCCACCGTATGTATTTAATTATTTTTTTCTTATTTAACTTTAAAATAAAAATTTCATCTTAAGTTTGTTAAAGTAAAAAAATATTTATGAGAAATCAAAATATAAATACACATAAGAGTTAGTCAAATAAATTCATAAATAAAATTATATTTATATATTATAATTTTTTAATAAAAAAATATGAAGAATTGTCATAAAAATAAGGAGTACTGAAGGTTGTAAATATTATTATACATGATATTAAAAATAACATAAATATATATGAATATGAAAAGTGATGTCTAAAAAGAATTTAAAGAGATATCATTATCATTTTACCTATTTAGTTTTTGTAAATTACCTCAAAATTATTAATAAAATAATAAAATAATAAATTAAATAATACTATAATTTAATCTTTAAAATATTTTATATTATCCTTCACATCAAACCACCTATAAAAATACCTGTAAAGTCTGCACACCCTTTATTATTTTCAAAATCCACTTATGAAAATTCATTGAATTTATTATGTTATTGTATTAATTTAAAATTGTTAGCTATTGGAAAAGACAAGATAAGAAAAAAAATATTCCTATCATCACTTCACTTAAAATTGTCGGCTGCTTCGGTCAAAAGGATACTCTATAATATATCTTACTTTCCGATTTAGAGTAAATATATTTGTTTGCATAAAAATTGCTTACATATATAATTATTGTTATAGAAATAGTTTAATTATACTATTTTATTTAACGAAAAAAATAATTTTAATATTTTTTAAAAAAAGAATCAACATGATTCTTTTAAGCAAAATCAGATATATTTGATCATTTTCACATATAATTTAATTTTTTTTTATTCAATGACTAATTTAAGTTTTAAATAACTTCTTAACATATCTAGTTGCTTATCATTATTTGTGCTATTTATTACACAAAAGAAAAAAAAAACTATTTTTATCTATACTCAAAGCTCGGTAGACTCTGCATCTACCTTGTTACTCGCTATATTCTTTCATTGTCTTTTTATTCTTTATATTTAAGATTTATTGCACTTTGAATGGAGGATCTTTCGAAAACAGTCTCTTTCGAGCACACATGTACTATCTCATTTCAAGCATCTGAAATCAGTAGGCTACTATAACTTGTTGTGTTAAGGATGTCCAACATATGTTATTTAATTATTTTGTGTATCATTTTATTTGTATATATAATATTTTTTCTCGACGAACACCCTTAACACTATGTAGCTACGCCATTAGTCTCTCTAACTTCACCAGATAATGATAAAATCTACATATATTCTATTTTTACTAAACCTCATTGGTAGAATTTCATTAAATATATTATATTATTATTATCGTTATTATACTCAAAACTCGAACTCGAAAGGTAAGAGAAAGAATCATGAAAATATAGTTAACAATGTTTTGACAGTTAGGTAGCTAACTCCCGCCACTGTACTTGTACTACTAAGTACTAACTATTATTAATATATTTACTCACAAAGGGACACTTTTTTTTTTCTTCAAACAAAAAAAAAATAATCAGCTCAGATTTGGGATCTGTAAATTTGACCAAAAAAAAAAGAAAAGAAGCCATAAATACATAGCAGATCTCTCTTTTTTTGCTTTTTTGGGATAAAGATTTGATTTTTTTATTTTTTTTGCTTTTTCTATGGATAATATCAGCTGGTGGAGGAATTATGAAGGGATATTAAAGACTTTTTACCCTGTGTTTTTGGGTCAAGTTGTTTCTTTTGTTATGGCACTTATGAGCTTCACTTCTTCTCTAGTGGCAAATCTTGGTAAGTTTGATTTTCTTGATTTTTACTTTTGGGGATTGAAGCTGGTGGTGGGGTGGGGGGTGGGGGGTGGGGTACTTTTTTTTTTTGTTGTTGAATTATTATGATTTATTTAGTTAGGCTAAATGGGGTTTTGTTTATTAATGAATCTTGATGATCCATTGCTTTAATTTGTTTGATTAGTTTTGACTTGATATGGACTTTAAGAAATGAACAAAAGATTGTATCTTGTTAACTTAAACTAAACTAAAGTTACGTAGAATATACCTAAATGTTATTTAATTTTGTGGTTTTAAATATGATATGTGGAAAGTTGAGATTAAGAAGATGCAAAAATTGTGAAGATGTATTTTTTTTTTTTTAAAAAAAAGGACTAAAAAGAAAGTATGACGAACAAATTGAAACGGAGGGAGAAACTGAGAAGCATTTTGTTGATTATTTGTGTTTTATTTTGTTTTGCATTTGTAGGTGCAAACACTCCACTTTCCCTGTCATTCTTCTCCTACACAGCTTTAGCTTTGGTGTATGGAGGAATCATGATTTACAGGAGGCAGAAATTACAGGTGTTTTGTTACTTCCTTGGTATTAATTTGTTTGTCTGGTTTTAATTTGGTACTTAATTTAAGAAAGTAAGTACTATTACTTTTGAATTTTGTGGTCTTAAACTAAAGATACGTAGAATGTACCAAAATTTTCTTTGATCTTGTAGTCTTAAACATGTCCCGTGGAAATTTAGAATTAAAGAAATGCTAAAAAAAGTAGAAGATAAAGGCTTTTTTTTCAAAACTGACTAAAAAAGAAAGTTAGACAAACAAGTTGAAACTGAGGGAGTAATATTCAAGAGTCTATTTTGATATTGCTTAAGTAACAAACATAAGTACATAACTAACAATAACTATACTCCCTCAATCAAAGGCGGGGCTAAAATTTTTAGTTTATGAGTTTTGGACTATAGTCATTTTTGCTTAGTGCGTTTTCGTTACATTATTTGTACATTTAACACAAATACAAGGTTCGAACCAAAACTACTGGATTCTGCTGAACTCGTAGCCACCGTTGTGGCTCCGCTCCTTCCCTCAATCCCAAACTAACTGGTTTTGATATATATATTTGGATCAGTTCATTCCACTACACAATAATACTGACATTGATGAAACAAATTTGTAAACAACTCATTAAAATTTGTTCATTGTTATGCTATAGTAGTGAAAATAATTCATGAGTTTCACTTTATTTTAAGTGAAGTTTGTTTTTAGTTTTACGTAATGGTTACCGATTGAATATTGTCTTGAGTTTGCAGGTGCCTTGGTATTGGTATGCACTTCTAAGCTTAGCTGATGTCCAGGGAAATTTTCTTGGTAAGATGCTTCTCCGCTAAATGGACATTCTCGACTTGTTCCATATTAACTCTTGAACCATTACTGTGCTCACAACATTGACGTGAAGTGCCATCTATTCATGCAATAGATATCGTTTAATTTCCTTTTGTTTTGTGAAATTTGAGGTTTGGAACTTAGTTTTGGAGAAAGCTCAGTTTTTTTTAGTGCATGTTGGCTAACTGATACCGATACTCTAACTCTACTTAACTGCAAATTAGGTGTTAGTTCTGTAGTAAGAACTTTGGGAATTGGTAAGTTCCAACCTATTTTAGTATATGCTTCCTCCGTTTCAATTTGTCTGTTTGGTTTTGACTTGACACGGACACGGAGTTTAAGAAAGTAAAGAAGACTTTTGAATCTTATGGTCCTAAACTAAAGATACATAGAATGTACCAAAATTTCCTTTAATCTTGTGGTTAGTCCTCTGTATTGTGGTTGAAAATATGTGGTAGAAAGGTCTTCCATAGTAATTTCATGTCATTGTATGATTTTTAGAACTTTAATGTAGTCACAATTATCCACGATACGAAATTTAACTTCCGTTGAATGTATTGCAGTAAATAAAGCATATCAGTACTCATCAATCACCAGTGTGACCATACTGGATTGCTGGACTATAGCATGGGTGATAATTTTGACGTGGCTATTTTTGGGCACACGATATTCTCCGTGGCAATTCTTTGGTGCAGCAGTCTGTTTAGGTGGTCTTGGACTTGTGCTTCTATCCGATGCTAAGGCGAGTGACAAAAGTGGTACTTGTCTGTTTCCTAAAATGATTTATTTAGTTCGTAAATGAAAAATGTTTCTCATATTTGATTTCCTTGAGTTCTCGGAAGGACTTCAATTATGAGATGAGTGGAGAGGGTGGATGGCAGAGAGAAGCTGATTGCCACTCCTAAGCGGGAAGTGCCTAATTAAGGAAATTACTTATGCTTCGATCGTTTTCAATTGCAGGTGGTTCCAAACCTATTCTTGGTGATATATTTGTCATCATAGGGACATTTTTCTTCGCAATGAGTAATGTTGGTGAGGTTAGTGTAATTTGTCTCTTCATATTTTCAAGGCATACACGAACAAACATTCAAACTTGGTCTCAGATGATTAGTAAGCACTCAAACTTTGAGAGTGCACATCTAGAGACTTCAGCTCGTCTCCACTGTGTCAGTTGAACAGTTCGGAGTGCTTACTTGCCGGATGAGGCCAAGTTTGAGTGTATGTTTATATATTACGTTTATTTTCAAATGTCTCCTCTCTACCGGATTGTTACTCTAAATATAAGCATAAACATGTTCTTATAGAGAAATTTATGGTACGTTTAACTATAATTCACTTTGGTGCAGGAGTTCTGTGTGAAAAAGAAAGATCGTATTGAAGTGGTTTCCATGATTGGTCTTTTCGGCTTGCTTGTTACTATAATTGAGATGTATCCTTTCTATCTAAAAATTGTTTATTTCACATTGCATTATGTACAATCTCAACACAAAGAAATCGCGTCGAGCATAATTAATGACTTAACTTTGTCTCAGACCAATCTTAGAAAGGAAGAGTTTGGAATCAGTTAAGTGGTCTGCTGAGATTGTAAGTAACTTAAAGTCGTCGTCTTATATTTGCTCCACTAATATCGTTTTTGTTTTCTGAAATATGATTTTCTTGGGCTGATGGTCTATCGGAAACAATCTCCTTACCTCCACGAGGTAGGGGTATGATCACCGTACTGCCCTTTAGTTTTTGTGCTACTTGCTAAACATTAAGTATTGTAGTAAAAATCTTCATTCCAAGTGCTGGATAGTCTAGAAACTTGAATAATTTGAGAAGTTGGTCTATAAGTCTTCATCGCTAACCAGAGCTTGTAAATAGTTAAAAATATGAAATACTGGAAAAGATTTGGGTCATAACTTGTAATTCTTGATCTTCTTATCTCTTAAGTTAAGCAGTGAAAGAAATGCCTTAGTTCAATTTGAAAATCTTTTTCAGATATTAGCCTTCTGTGGCTATGCAGTGGCAAGCTTTATGTTCTACACCTTAGTTCCGTTTCTTCTCGAGGTAAAACACTCACTCTTCATCATTCCATCCACTGAATTTAGCATAGTGGATGTGTATTTGTTGTCGGATATTTGGTTCATCGTACTAAAGTAAGGCACGAGTAATTCAAATGCAGATGAGTGGCTCAACCTTGTTCAATCTATCTCTTCTCACATCCGATGTGTGGGCAGTTGTCATCAGAACCTTTTTCTACAAGCAAAAGGTACTTTTTATCCATTCTTTTCCCCATATTCAACGAATTTTGATGGTTTTCGCCACACTTGCAGCTCTCAGTGTGCTGATCACTCTTAATTGAAAATTGCAGGTTGAATGGCTGTACTTTGTAGCTTTTGCACTTGTGGTTACTGGACTGATCATATACTCGAAAACGTATGTTCATGCTCTTTAAATTCGTTATCTTATCATTGATTATGAACAGGGATGAGGTAAAGTAACACACTTGATTGCAAAATTCATACTAAAGTGAAAAAAAAGTAAACATTGTATAATTCATCAGCTGTAATAAGTTAGTAGTAGAACCTGAAAATGAAAAAATTCTTAGTTACCTAAACCATCTACATTCAATACCGTCACATGAATCGTAAGATGTATTATACTCCAAGTCCATGTTTTTTACCCATTCAGAACTAGAACATGAAGAAGAAATTAGAAAATCGCACCCAAGGGTGTCATCTAGCTGTCAATAAAATGAGTGATAACCTTGGGGACCAAATTCAAATCCCAACGGAGACAAAAAAACATTAGGTGACCTCTTCGTATCCCATCTGCCTAAGCCTTGGCGGACACAGTTACTTGTACTTATGCAGGTACTTGTGAAATAGTCGAGATGTGTGCAAGTTAGGACTTCATCACATCAGCAGTAACTGCTATAGCTAGTTGGAGGCTGAAAAATTCGCAGAAACGCGTAATCAGATATTCTTTTGGCCAATCAAAATTGTCTTTTGCAATCAAAAGAAATCATTGTTGTTGCTAATACAACTTGTTTGTTCATCAACAGTGAGAAGGATCATGTAAATGCACCAGCTAATATTGAAGAAGCTGATCAAAGATACCAACTTCTTAATGAAGATGAAGAGCAAGCTGATCATAGACGTCATGAAACTATTTCATAACTAGTTGTAGAAATCAAGATTCATTGGAATTACATGTAATTTACATATTATTATTCTTCTGAAATTGTTCAACATCTATATAATTGGAGTTAACTATTTTTCCCATCTCTCTGATTCTATTTGTTTGTCTAGTTTTGACTTAACACAGAATTTAAGAAAGTAGAGCAGACTAGTGAAAATGCTCTTTAATCTTGTGCTCATAAATCTCTCATGTGGGAAGTTAAAATTAATGAGTTGTCATAAAAGGAAAAATACATTTGATCTGAAACGGACTAAAAAGAGAGTAGAACAAAAAAATTGAAACAGAGGGAGTACTATTTATCGTTTGATCAATGTGTTTACTTGTTGCTTCATAACTCTACAATTAAGAAGCAAATTAAGTATCGTAATTGTTAAGAATAAAATTAAATAACAAAAGTATGTTCTCCCTAACTCTAACAGTTTAAATTTTAGATAAGATGATCAGAAACTTCTACATAGTATCAGAGCACTGAGGGCCCCAACTAAATTTCAACCTCATTTTGTACTATTTTTTCTATTAATATATTATTTTGTGCTCAGATTTGGGATCTGTGACAGTGACCATATTTTTTTTTTTCATCTGTTTACTGCATTATAGAAGCTCTTTTTAGTTGAAGTTTCTATTATTTGCTATTTTTTTGTTACTTTTTCTTATAAAGTTTTGATTTTTTTTTGCTTTGGGGTGGGGTGTTTTTCAGCCATGAGTAGGAGCAGCTGGTGGAGGAATCATGAAGGCATATTGACAACTTTTTACCCTTTGTTTTTAGGCCAAGTAGTGTCTTTTGTTAGGGCTCTCATTAGTTTTGCTTCTTCTCTAGTGGCAAATCTTGGTTAGTTTGAACTTTTTTTGGATTATGAGTATGATTAATTTGTTAAGCTAAATGGGATTTTGTTAAAAAAAAAGAAAAGAATCTTGATATATTAGAAGCATTTTGTTGATTATTTGTGTTTTTGCATTTGTAGGTGTAAATACTCCACTTTCTCTGTCATTCTTCACTTACACAGCATTAGCTTTGGTGTATGGAGGAATCATGATTTACAGAAGGCAGAAATTACAGGTACTTTGCTCCCGTTTGACCATAGATTTTGAAGTTAGAAACTTAAAAATTTGAATTTTCGAAGTTATGTTAGCAAACAATGACACTTTATTAAGTGAGTTGACATTAACAAGTTTGTGATCAAAAAATGTTTGTTCTTGTGCTATAATTGTGGATTTTGTTGAATGCTGTTTTTAGACTTTTCTCATTGTAACAATGTACCTTCAAGAAAATGATTTCGGAGTATCGGTCTATTAAGTGTATTTTTGTTTTTAGTTATACATGATGGTTATCATTTGAATGTTGTCTTGAGTTTGCAGATTCCTTGGTATTGGTATGCCCTTATAGGCTTTGCTGATGTCCAGGGAAGTTTTCTTGGTAAGATGCTTCTCCGTTAAAGAGATATTCTCTGCATTTCCCATATTAATCAAAGCTAGTTGTGCACTGAATGAACTCGTTTTCATTACTTCTGTTGGATTTATTGCAGTAAATAAAGCATTTCAGTACTCATCAATCACCAGTGTGACCATACTAGATTGCTGGACTATAGCTTGGGTGATGATTTTGACGTGGCTATTTTTAGGCACACGATATTCTCCGTGGCAATTCTTTGGTACAGCAGTCTGTTTAGGTGGTCTTGGACTTGTGCTACTATCAGATGCTAAGGCGAGTGATGGAAGTGGTACTCGTCTGTTTACTAAATGTTTATTTAACTCGTAAATAGGAAAATGTTTCTTATCATCTAATCTTTCCTTGAGTTCTCGAAAGGACAAGGAATGGAAAGGGTGGATGGCAGAGAGAACAAGCTAATTGCCACTCCTAGGCGGGAAACACCTTATTAAGGAGATTGTTTAGTTTGCTTATGCTTCTATCATTTTCAATAGCAGGCGGTTCCAAACCTATTCTTGGTGATATATTTGTCATCATAGCGACATTTTTCTTCTCCGTGAGTAATGTTGGTGAGGTTAGTATAATTTGTCTCTTGACAGTGCATACCTAGACACCTCAACTCGTCTCTACTGAATTGTTACTCTAAATATTAGCTTTGGTGCAGGAGTTCTGTGTGAAAAAGAAAGATCATGTTGAAGTGGTTTCCATGATTGGTCTTTTCGGCTTGCTTGTTACTATAACTGAGATGTATACTCTCTACCTAAAAGTTGTTTTTTTCACATTCATTTCTTATAGCCGTGGAACTTGAAATGTAAAGTTTCTCATTTTTAATTTTTTTCTCAGACCAATCTTGGAAAGGAAGAGTCTGGAGTCAGTCAAGTGGTCTGCAGAGCTTGTAAGTGACTTACATTCGTTGTCTTATTTTCGCTCATCTAATATCGTTGTTGTCTCTCATTTTTCAGATAGTAGCCTTCTGTGGCTATGCAGTGGCAAGCTTTATGTTCTACACCTTAGTTCCGTTTCTTCTCAAGGTAAAACGTTCACTCTTCATAGTTCCATCCGCTGAATTAGCATAGTGGGGATGTGTATTTGTTGTCGGATATTTGGTTAATCGTACTAAAGTAAGGCACGAGTGCAGATGAGTGGCTCAACCTTGTTCAATCTATCTCTTCTCACATCTGATGTGTGGGCAGTTGTCATTAGAACCTTTTTCTACAAGCAAAAGGTATTCTTTTCCCTGTATTCAACGAGTTTTGATGGTTTCCGCCACACTTGCAGCTCTCACTGTGCTGATCATTCCTAATTGAAAATTGCAGGTTGAATGGCTGTTTTTTGTAGCTTTTGCACTAGTAGTTACTGGGCTGATCATATACTCGAAAACGTACGTTGTGCTCTTTGAATTCCTTATCTTATTTAGAAAATCGCACCCAAAGGGTGTCAGTTAGCGATCAATGAAGTGGATGATAACCTTAGAGAAAAAAAAAAGCGCTTCAGCATTAACTGCTATAAGCTAGTTGGAGGTTGAAAAACTCGCGAAATGCCTAGTCAAATCGTTCTTTCGCCAACCAAAATTGTCTTTTGCAATAATAAGTAGTCATTGGATTGCTAATACAACTTGTTTGTTGATCAACAGTGAGAAGGATCCTGTAAATGCATCAGCTACTATTGAAGAAGCAAATGCAGATGATCAAAGGTACCAACTTCTCAATGAAGATGAAGAGACATGAAGCTAGTTGTATAATCAAGATTCAGTGTTTACTTGTTACATTTCGCTTCACGAGAATCAATTTGATTGAATACTAAAACTTGTAATTTGACTCTCGAGAAGTGCAACACGACAAGTAAAAGTGAACAGACGGAGTATAGAACTATTAAACCACAAAACAGTTATTATGTGTTGGTGTTCTGTCCTACACAAGACTCAACTTGTTAGATATTACCGACGTTTGGTGAGTAGCATGTTGAATCTATGATCTCTATCATTTTCGAATATGTACTCCCTCCGCCGCATTTTATGTGAAGTGATTGATTGAGCACATAGTTTAAGAAATTAACAAAGACTAATTTTAGCATACTTGTAAAATATATGCAAATTAAGTTCCAAAATTATCACTACCAAGACTATGATGTCTCCCTCCTTAATCAAAAGGTCTCGAGATCAAAATTTGTATATGAAAGACAATATTTGGTAGGGAGTGTTTTCACTCTAATGAGTCTTACACAAAGTTAATCTGAATTAGTGAAATCTCAACATGGGTATTAAGATGTGCTGAAATTATCCTTTTAAACGAACGGTGATGAAAGTTCTCCTTATCTTTTTCATTTTCATTTTTTGGATATTATGATTTATGACTGATTGTGTTATGGAGTTATTATTGTAGTCAAATTGCAATTACTTACAATTTTTATTATAAAAAACAACTTCCAATTAGTATCTTTTTTTTCTTTCATTATTTATTGTGAGTTGGTTATACTTTATCCACGTCTTCAATACTTGCTATTTAATAACTATGCTAACATGAAGTAGCAAGTAGCTGAATTAGCATCAGATAAAATAATCGAGATATTCGTAGATACTTGTATTAGTTCAAATTTCGATAAATAAAGTTATTTGTAACTTGTGTTGGTTTGACGTAGCAAGTGAAGTTAGTGAAAATTGGAAATAAGCACAAATTGACGCAGATATCATGTTAGATAGAAACAAATAAATAAAGCAAAATTATACTACCTCCGTCCACTTTTAGTTGTCACATTGCTTTTTTCAAAAGTTAATTTGAATATTTTTCAAAGTTAAATTAGATTACATTAATTCGATATGTAAAAACTATAGAAAAAGTACTATAAATTGCAATGTTTTACATAGCAATATAATGAAAAAATACATCATAAAATGTTGATCAATTTCTTTTAGTATGAATCTAAAAACAAAAAAAAACATGACAATCAAAAGTGGATCGAAATAATATATATATATATATAATCATCTCCCCGAAAAACCTCTCAATTAATCATTGAAAATCCAATGGAGCAGAGTCAACCACCGCCGACAACGCCGGCGCCGGCGACACCCATTTCACAGCCAACTGAACAAATTCCGACATCATCTCCGGCTCCACCACCTCCTTCCTCCACCGCAATCAGTCAACTTCCTTCTACAACAACCACTACATCAGTAGCATCACAGCCAGTAAACCTAAACCCTACCACCACCACTTCAGCTACTAAAACCATTGTCACCACCACCATCACTTCAGGTACTAAAACCGTCACCACCACCACCATCAGTCCCGGCGGTACCATCACTGCTGCCGCCGCAGCACAGCAGCAAAACCCTTCAGCAGCCACTTCACAAAATGCTCAAGCAAGACAACCCTTTGGCCGGCCATGGCAACAGCCTTCACCTTTTCAACACTTTTCGTTACCTCCTCCACCTCCCCCACCACCACCTCACTCGTCGTCATCATCTTCTTCGATTTCGTCTTCTTCGGTGTCTATGCAAAACCAAAACCCTAGAGGTGGTATGGCTATGGGAGTACCTGCTCATCACCCTAGTAGCTCTTTCTCTTCATTGACGACGCCTTCTTATGGACAGCAATTTGGTGGTTTAGGTCGCAATTTGCCTGATTCTACGCCGCCCACCTCAACTACCTCACAGGTACTAAATTTTTCGCCTTTTCGCCCATCCTTTTCGTATGTGTATGCAATTGCAATTGTATGTGCCTACTATATTGTTTTGGTTTCTGAACAGCGATTTTTTTTTTTTTTTGCAATTGCAGCCTAATTTATAAACTAATAATCTGCTAAAGGTAACCTCTGAAGGTCATTAATTATTAAAAAGGAGAAATTTAAAGCAGTAAAATTACTGAAACAAGTTTAGAGGAGCTCCTGGGGTAGTGCTAGATAAAGTGGATATAAAGATTACGGTGCTCGTTGAGTAGTTGAGGTGCATGTAAAATAGTTTTAGCAAAAAGTTAGATGAGTACCATGCTATGGCTAGAATGCAAACAATTCGATTTAATTACAATAATAGTTCCACATTATTGGGTAATAGAGAATCAAAATTGAAACTTTTAACATGTGTAGGGCGTAAGGATGGATGTAGCCAACTGGATCAAGGCAATGGATTGTGATTTTACCATGCAAGGTTCAATGCCATCGTTCATCTACTTTTATTTCGGAGACACAGTACAAAGTACCATAGTCAGTAGCGGGGTAAAGCTTAACATATTTGTGTTGGGGATAATTGACCATGCCATTATATTTGGTCAAATACCCATAATGATTGATGTCATCTAATGATTTTCTTGCTGGGCATACCAAAACTTTAAACGGCAGACAAAAAATGATCTGAGGGAGTACTTAATAGTAAGAAAGACATAAAATGATTCAGGTTGCTTGATTTAGTATTCTGAGTCTGATCTTATGTAGGAATTAGGAAAGAGGTTTGCATTTCATGAACTGTAAGGTATTTTGGATCTTGGTCACTCTGGTTTATGTGGTTAGGTCTGTTTTTGTTCAAATATGAATATGGTTCTTTGAGTTAGGAATTTGCATACTTTGAATTTTTGTGTGAATTCACACCTCTGGGTTCTTGATTTACATTGTATATTGGATATTAACTGATTCTTGTTATCTGTAGGTGAGGCAGCCTATACAAGGAATGCATGGGATGGGAATGATGGGATCACTTGGTTCAACTTCACCGATGCGTCCTGCAGGGGTTTCTCCTCAGCAACTGAGACCTGTCTCCTCTTCGATTAGACCTCAGACGAGCATCAGTAGTCAGTCTGCTGCTACACAGGTCAGTAATTCCTTATGAGAGATATCAGTTCTTTGTACTTCCTTTTAATATTTGGTTGTTTAGGTTCAGGTAGCTGTAAAACATTGAGGTTATTTGTTTCTTCTTCATTTACCCTTTCAGAATTTTCAAGGCCATAGCATGTTGAGAGTTCAGTCAGTCGGATTTCCGCCGTCCCAATCACATACTACCTCTCAAAGTCCAAGGACACAGACTCAGCCATGGTTATCTTCAGGAGCACCGGGGAAGCCCCCTTTGCCGACACCATCATTGAGACCTCAAATTAATCCTCAGTCTTTGCATCAAAGGTCCCATATTCTTGCACCGCATCAGCATACTGTTACTACTACATCTTCTGTCCAACAGTCACAGCCTTCAGCCTCAAGTCAGTCCCAAGATCATTTGGGGCAACAGATGCCTCCATCCAGGATTCAACAATCATTATCTAATCAACCACTTGGCCGAGGTCAGGGTTTAGGAATCCAGAGACCTTCATCACATGCATTGATGCAACCCACTGCAGTCCAGCCAGGACCACCTAGTAAGGCTGCTACCACTTTAGAGATGGGAGATCCTTGTACTAGGATTCTAAGCAAGAGAAGCATCCAAGAGATTGTGACCCAGGTTAGTGTAGACATGTTAAACTCGCCGTCTCCCAGTGTTGAGAATATTTCATGATCTACCTGATTTAGAGAGTCTCTTTCTTGAAATTATTACTATATATGCCAATTTTTTTAATAAGTATTCCTGTATAGATTGATGGAATTTAAAGGAGAACATATGTTCAGGCTTTACCTGTTTTCACTATGTCGGCATGTATATCATAGCTGGATCACTTCACTACGTTAATTTCCTGCATGCTATTTCTTGCCTGTCAAAGGAGGAGGACCTTCCACCATAAATTACGAATTTGCATTTTGCTTGTTTGATTCTCTTATCAGTGATTGGGACTTGGGATGAGGCGCAGTTGTTGGTTGTTTTCTTATGAGTACTAATCTTGAAGTTCCATGAGATAGGTGTTTTTGAAACTTGTGTTGAAGTAAGATTATTAAGCTCCATGTCAGTTGATAGGATGAGATACTTTTGCTTGCATTGTGTTGAGAATGCAGCTATACTAGATTCAGTAATTGAGAAGTTATTACTATTAACTAGATGATGTAGCTGATAAAATATTATACACAGATACAGTTGCTTTTTATTTATCGTATCCTTTAGTTTGAAATAAAGTCTTATTAAAGAATTTATCTAGTCTTATCTTTAGTCTAGTCTTACCATTTTAGTTAGATATATGATTTAGTCTACTCTAGTCTTGTCATTTTAGTTAGATATTAAATTCTGGTAGTTTCAAATGTTTTTATTTGCTTAGATGTCTTTATTTGATCAGTAGAACATTCGTGCATTTCGTGTGGGAAGACATGTGTAACAGATGTATTGATTTGATATTACAGTCCTCTTTCTATTTATCCCTTTCCTCCTCCCCCCTCCCTCCCTTCCTCTCTCTCTCTCTCTCTCTCTCTCTCTCTCTCTCTTATTCTTCTCTCTCTGTACTCTTTCTCCCCTTCTTGGTCTCAGTTTTTGGTGCTATATCACTAGGTAATGTTTATTGGCTCTTATATTGTCAGAATTTGGCTGCCCAATGGCAAGATTGTACATATGATGCCTTCCTAAGTAGTGATGTTGCTTGTAAAGCTTTATCCTGTTAGCTTGCAAACTGAGATTATTTAGATGAGGGAACCAGTAATAGGTAGCTTTCCAAGTCTTTCTACCTATAATTCTTGAAGAGGCAAGTTGGCAAACCGCTTAGGAAGATGTTTCAGCTTGATAGGGGATTACAAGGCAAGGAACCAGTAATAGGTAGCTTTCCAAGTCTTTCTACCTATAATTCTTGAAGAGGCAAGTTGGCAAACCTCTTAGGAAGATGTTTCAGCTTGATAGGGAATTACAAGGCAGGGAATTGAACCCCCACTACGAAGGTGAAAGTTTAGGTAGCCAAACCAACTGGGCTACCATGATTCGGCATGATAGCGACTTCAAGTTTAGCAGTATAAATTATGACTGCTTGTCTGCTACTCTGGAAGTTAATCTCAGTTATGCTGACTCGTCTGTAAATTGGTAGGGAATGAGTAGTCACCATTTACCCGAGTGTAAGGCAGCACTGCAGCTGTGGATTTTCTGGTGTGCAGTCCGTTGTAGCTTTCGACTGTAGTACAGGAAGATTTCACTAGAAACAGTGGTTTAACTTTATGAGGATGTGCTTTTGGTTTTGAATAAACCAAATGAGTGCAATGAATGATGTGTGGGTTAATCACACATCCTAAATAATGGTGTTTACTCTGTAATATACTGTCAGGCTATTGCGTTAACAGCAATTACTAGCTATGATTTATCTGCTTGCAAACTGTTACTAGCATATTCTATTTGCCAAATATGAACTAGCATATTCTGATTGCAAACTGTCAAGAATTAGATGTTCAATTTGCAATCAGATTATGCTAGGTCTGATTGGAAGGATTCAGCTCTAGCTAGTAAATGTATGCAAACAAGATACGGAAGGATAAATATTATTGAAAGCTTTTGCTGTTTATAAGCTTGCAGGATCCATTGATAATGTACATACTGAATCCATACATCCCATTGTGTAATAGTGATACTTCATCATAGTTGGAAGCTGGTGAAAATTTTTGTAGTTATAAATTATATGATGGTGTCTTTGCTAGCTTGAATCCAATGGGCAGACCACAAGTATAAGTGCTAGGTCAACATGCCTATCAAGGTTTGAGTATATGGAAACTGAGTGCTCGGATTGGGATTTTGAACCTTGTAGGGATTTAAACCTGGGATTTTGAGGTTACCCATATACGTCAACCACCACCCCATCCCCTGGCCGACTCCGTCAATGGTATTTCTGCCAAAAAAAAAGAGAAAACAATGTTTTTTTATCAGTCACTGGAAATGGAGTGCCTATCACTAGTTGATGTTTTGGTAAGAGTTCCTGTTTTGGACAAAGTGACTTCTTAAAGTGTAAAGGCAGGTAAGAAAAGGAGGGGCAATCATGTTGAAATCTGAGGTGTATAAATAAATATAATAGAAGAAGCCTTGTCATTCATAGTCAACTTGCAAAATGAACAAAATCTCTCGACATTTTATCCTGTCTCTCCTGCTATTTGATTTTGGTATCAGGTGTCTATTCTCTTTGCCTTTATGATTCAATTGCTTGACCTGCATCTCTCATTGACAGATTGATCCATCAGAGAAATTGGATGCTGAAGTTGAAGACATCCTCGTTGATATAGCAGAGGAATTTGTGGAATCTGTAAGTTCATATTCTAGTTGTTTCACACTGAAATATTCCTTTCAATCTGAAATCTCACCTGACAATCTGATAGGTATATTGTAAGATAATTCTTGGAAGTACTCTAGTGGGGCTGAAGTTCTGGCCATGCTTTAATAGGATAAAGATAGCTAGTTCATTTTCATAGATAATGCCATTACTTTTTAGTTGTGCAATTCCATTCAGCTTAATGTGGTAAGATCAGGGGTTTTTATCCTGAAAAAAACAAAAAAAGAGAATATGGTGAGCTCAGGGGTACGCGGTTTCATTTATTGCTTACTTCCTGTTAAGTACAAGAAAGGTTGAAATTGCCACCTGATCAAGGTCTCTGTTTGTACTGAACTATGAATTTCTTTGTAGATGAACACAACGAATTCTAGGAAGCAAGGATATAAGATTTTCCCTTAGATCCGACTATTCTGCATCAAGTTTTCTTTTTTGTGTTATATAGGCAATAAGCGTATGTTCTTAGTTTTAAGGAAAAATTCAGATTTGCTCCCTTTGTCATTCAAGTTCTTGTTTTATTTATGAGATAGACTCTTCCTATGCAGATCAATGTCTTTTTTTTCTTTCAATTGGATATTGCTTCTCTTGAAATGAAATTTTATGTAAATGCCAAGCGATTTGGGAGCTCATTTCTTGTAGCTATATTATGTGTGATTCTACAAATCTAAAGGGGGAGTACAGAGGAGGGGCTTGGAAAATTGTTGCAAATTTTCTCTTCAAATTAGCCGTTCCTTCTCAGTTTCTGTGTTACAATTAATGCGTGAATCTTTTCTGGAGGATTCATGTGACAGATAATTGATATCAACATCCAGTACTTTATGGTTACTCCAAAAATGTCGTGGCAGGAAATAAAAATTGGGAGATGGGTTGAGGGAAAGAAAATTAACAGGAGAGGCAGTATTAGTTACTTAACAGGGTGAATGCAGCTAATGGATGTAAAACAATCTTTGGGAAGGTAATATAAGCTCTAGTAGGATTTGTGAATTAAGACTCACATTTATTGAACTTGTAGTTCTGGTAACATGCGGAGGACCTGAATCTCCTTTAATTCGGGGTGGCTTAGGGTAGGAGGAAAGAGAAGGCTGATCATTCCTCACACTTCTAGAAAGTAAGAGCTCTATAATGAGTTGCTCATTCATTCTACACCACGGCATGTAAAATCAGAGTTCTGAATTATTATTATTTTCCATATCTGTTGGGTGGTTTAAGTTGATATCAGAGTCCCTTTGGACCTGTATATTCTCCAGCCAAATGACAATACTATGTTAACAGCGCGTTTCTCATTTTTGTACTGGTCCTTAACTACTTCCTGCTTGACCAGATTACCACATTTGGCTGTTCATTGGCCAAGCATCGAAAATCCAATACATTGGAAGCAAAGGACATCCTTCTGCATCTTGGTAAGTTACTTTCTACTCCTGACTGGTCCAACATTATGCAGTACCTAACATATTAAAGTGTATTTGATACAGAAAGGAATTGGAATATGACTCTCCCTGGTTTTGGCGGGGATGAAATCAGAGCCTACAAGAAGCCAGTGAGTTCAATACTACATAATTAGACTTCTTTGTGATGTAGTCTTTATTTTCCAATCTTTTCTTGTTATCTGATTGTTTCTTTTCTGGTTTCTCAGTTAACAAGTGACATCCACAAGGAGAGAATAGCAGTGGTAAGTTAAATTTTTTACTTTGTCTTATTGCTTGTGATTGGTTTCGTCTTTACGTATCTGTTTCAAAATGAGAAGATAATGTGACATTAATAGAGACAGATCCAAGATTTGAACTTTATGAGTTTATAACTGTGTTCTAAACTTAATCTGAAATTCTCAACCAATATACATGGTTTGAGTCAAAGTTACTGTTTTTGCCAAACCCTGAAGTCAACCTTTGGTCCCGGTGATATATATCGGTCATTATTAGCTGATCAGTCGTTGTTCGTTTGACAGATAAAGAAATCGGCTCTCGTGGCCGAGATGACAAATGCAAAGGGCCCAACACAAACTGGTGGGAATATGAAAAGCCATTTAGCAAAGAGTGCATCTAATATTTTGGGTTCCCCTAATGCCAAGACATGAAAGCTTGTGCATTGTGATGAAAACAAAAGGCAGGAAGAATTTTTTACTGACTTCACAGTAAAATTAGGACTAGATCTTTTTACTTCCATGTTAAATTAAATTTCTTAACTTATAATTAGTATTGAGAAAAGAAAAAAAATGAAATTGTATTATTTTGTTTTTGTTCAAATGGAGAAAATGTGGGAAGGGATGTATCACTTTTATGGTGATATTTCTCATATGTAAATATTTTGTTGACCCGTCCATTTGTTCGATTTTTGCTATATATCGGCGTATGTATTATGACTAAGTTATCGATAAATTTCTTGTATTTTAAAATCAAACACTTCATTATTCAATTTTGTTACGTGTTGAAAAGTCATTTGCATCAATCCATGTGCATGTGAAATTATTGAATGGATTATTATATGTAGCTCCGTGTAATTTCCAGGTCAAATACATGTGCTATAACGTGCAATAATTTATGTCCAACAACTTTTTAATAGCAAAATAACTAACAATATTCTCTTTACTTATGCTTATTGTTGACTAAACCTAATATTGTGAATGAAAAATCTTTACTTGTGAGTTTTCTCGCACGCTACTTAAGTGGTGATGACATTTTTTTGTACCTGGTAAAGTAAAGCTTGATTTCTTATCTTCAACTTCATTTCATTGAAACGTAATGCGAAAAGTTTTTTCTCTCTACCCTTTGTCTTTCTTGTTTCACTAACTAGGAGGTAATTTAAGAATATCCTTTTAGTTGTAGAAAAATCCTATAAATTACATTATTATTTTTTAATATTTATTCTTTGAGTTGGATAAACCTACAATTCCTTAAAGATCCTCATCATAGATGGTTATTCTTTGTTTCTTAGTTTAACAAGAAGTAATTATTGTCTTTTAGGGTTTGATTGATGTCACATGTTGTTTGAGCTATGGAAATATTTTTTAAAAAAAAATAGAAATATAGAGTAAGGGTATGACTTATGTATAATAGATTTTTGTGATTCAGTTCTTCCTTTAACTCTTGCTCATAGTGAAAGCTTAGTGCACCAGACTGTCTTATATTAATATAATAATAATACGACATAAATTACTATCAAATAATCACTTATTCACAAATTTTGTGTGGAGAAATGGTTTTCATGAAAAATTTATTTGGCTTTGCTTAACCATATTATCCTTTACAAGTATTTTCGTAATTAAGTTCTATAGAAATTAGACGATCTTATTGATCAAATTACCTAGCGTTGAACTCCTAAAATCACATAACATGCAAAGATCTTAATTGGGTCCAATATTGTGTTTTTGGATCAACAAATTGATCAAAGAAAAATCGAATAAAATCAAAATCAAATCCAATCTTGTATATTAAATTAAATCTACAGCTCTCTTAATCCATATTAAAAAAATCAATTTAGTCTATAATTGTCATAACATTAATAGTTATTTAGAGGAAAAGAAACCCATAAAAAGGAATGAAATTTCACACTATGTATTTTGGTATCATCTTCTAAGTGATTTAATCAAAGAAAATATGCTATGGTATAAAATTTTAAATTCTCTTGATGGAAATTTTGACTACCACGATAAGTACTCCTCCATCTAGGATGGATCTAGCATATATTGTGCATGTTCACGGGTTATTATTGTACATTAACTTGAAATTTATCGAAACATATAAACTTTTTTTTCCTGAATTCGCATCTGCCTATAAGATCAACATGAAATCTTAAATTTGAGCTCTAACAATAAAATCGTCTTTAATTTTTGGATTATGAAAGCCATGTGAAAAAACCAAAGAGAGTGTGAATCAAATTAGGGTGCCAATACCAATTTACTCAATTATTATTGTATATAATTGACTTGAGATTGCCGCAGTAATTTATAAACTTCAAATTATGAATCTATCGTTGCCTATAATGTCAACATGAAATATTGAGTTTGAACAATGAAAATAAAATGATCTTTAATTTTTCAAAATTAGATACCGAGTGAAAAAAAACAAAGAGAATACGATGAGGATCAAGTTAGTATACCAATTTATCAATTATTATTATAAAAATACATAATCTTTAAATTCTGAATACACCTATGCAACTATACCATCAATATGAGGTCTGCAATTTGAGCCTTAAAAATAAATGTTATCTTTAATTTTCAAATATCAGATGCGGAGTAGAAAAAGCCAAAGAGAACACAATGTGAATCAAATTAATTAAGATATCATTTTATTCAATTATAATTATATATTAACTCGAAGTCCTTCAGAAATCTATAAATTTCAAATTATAAATCGAATTTTGTCCATAACATCAATATGAGATCTTATGTGCAAGCCTCAAAAATAACAGATATCATACATCGAGTGAAAACCACAAGGGAATCAAATTAAGATCCACGTATTATCTACTTTTCTTTCCCAAACTCATATATATTCACACATAGCACAACTCGATAAAACAAGAAAAGGAAAAGAAAAAAGAAAGAAAAAAAAGGAGCTGAGTTTTTTAGAAAATTCAGCTCATCATCAGAGCTGACTCTTACAAATTCTTATCCTTTTTTTCACTTATTAATAAATCCCACAATTTTTTTTTCTTATTCTATGATTTGATTTTTGTTATCATATTGCATTTTCATTGTCTTTCTAGGTCCCAATATTCCCTTTTTTTTTTCTTCAAAAAAGTTTCCCTTTTGAATTTTTGAAAAGTTTTCAAGAATGTCGATTTATGATGGTGATTTGGTGGCTTCCAACAATTCTTTTGCTAAGAAACGTGAAAAGATTATTATTGATACTGATCCTGGTATTGGTAAGAATATTCTTCTTATCCTAAGAATAAATTTGTTTAAAGTTGGGAACTTTAGCAAATTCTGCATTTTTTTTGTGAATTTTAGCTAATCGTTTAGTTAATGGTAATGGGGTTTTGATTTTGTTGGAGAAATAGAGGGCCCCTTTTGTTTAAAGTTGGGAACTTTAGCAAATTTCTGCATTTTTTTTTGTGAATTTTAGCTAATTGTTTAGTTAATGGTAATGGGGTTTTGATTTTGTTGGAGAAATAGAGGGCCCTTTTGTTTAAAGTTGAGAACTTCAGCATTTTTTCAGTTTCTTGATTTTGGGTGTTGTTTGTTTTTTCATGAATGAGTTTAATGTTGAGAATTTTAGTAATTAGCTGAATTGTTATTTGATGGGGTCTGGAGAGGGTAGGAACCCCTAACTTGGGAAGTATAGAGTTGTTTCCGATAGACCCTACAAGTGGGGCGCGGAGAGGGTAAGGTGAATGCAAACTTTATCCCTACTTTGGGAGCTAGAGAGTTGTTTCCAATAGACCCCACATGTGGGGTCTGGAGAGGGTAGGGTGAACGCAGACCTTACCCCTACTTTGGGAGGTAGAGAGGTTGTTTCCTATAGACCCCACAAGTGGGGTCTGGAGAGGATAGGGTGAACGCAGACCTTACCCTACTTTGGGAGGTGGAGAGGTTGTTTCCAATAGACCCTACTTGAGGGTAGGGTTACCGCAGACCTTACCCCTACTTTGGGAGGTAGAGAGGTTGTTTTCGATAGACTTTTGGCGAATTGTTTATGGGATGGTAATTGGGTTTTGATTATGTTAGACAAATAGATGACCCTTGTGTTTAAAGTTGGGAACTTTAGCTAATTTCAGCATTTTTTTCCAGCTTCTTGAATTTGGGTGTTGTTTGTTTTTCATGAATGAGTTTAATGTTGAAACTTTTAGTAAAAAAATTGTTTGATGGTAATTGGATTTTGATTTTCTTAGATAAATTTTTGGTTAAATCTTCTACCTTTTTGGTAAAGTTGGAAACTTTAGCAAATTTCAGTATTTTTTTTTCAGTGTCTTGAATTTGGGTGTTCTTTTTTCATAGATGAATTTTAAGTTGATATGCTTAGTGATTTTTTCAGCTGTATTGTTTGTTTGATTAGAATCGGGTTTTGAGTTTCTTAGACAACTAGATGACATTTTGGGAAATTTTGTATTGTTTCGGGAGTTCTTATGGGAATGTGGTATCTTTTCGGGGATTTAGTTTTGTGTACTTGAAGATTCTTCTTTTTTGTTGCTAAAAGTGCAAAGGGAAGGGCAGATTCTATATAGAGAAGGGGTCCAAGTTACTTTATTGTGTCCATTTTGATAACAATAATCAGATATAATATATTCTCATTCTTTCTGGAATTTGTGAATTTTGGGATTGTTTCAGTTTGTTTTGAAGAGAATCTTGGAGATAAAGTAGCTTTTCGTCATCCTAAATTAGCTGTACTTTTAATACATGAAAGTATGCAATAAACTTTATATATGATCTTTTCTAATTTTGAGACTTCTTTTAGTCAAGGAATGTTTTGTTACTTTCGTAAAGAAATCGGGAGATAGTACTAACACATAGGCACCTAAGAAATCATATTATCTTTTCTGATAAATTTCTCAAGGTAGCTTCTATAATTCTCTTGATTCTTCGGTAACAACTATAGTAGGATTTTCGTTTGCTAACTTTGTTTATGTAGTACTCACTCTTAACTATTAACAATCTGTAACATCACTCTGGACTGGAAACTTCGAACTTCAATAATATTGAGGAAGCTAAAGTAGCAAAGATGGTTGGCTATTATAGAACAAAAGGACAAGACTAAATAGCAATAAGATTATGCCGTGAGTTCTATACTAGAGAGAGTAAGAAAAGAAGTATCAAATAAATGCAACCTGTGAAACCAAACCAAAATCCAACTCGAGGAGAGTCGTTCTTTGATCAGAGAAAGATGTCTTCGAGAAGGGAAAACACAATGCAATAGCAGGATGTTTTCCTTGAATGTCTGATTTCCTTCTGTTTTCTTCCTTATCCCAAAAGAGCTGAGTTGATGAGGTTTCCCAGATCAAGAAGTTTGAAGGAAGCTTAGCACTTATCATAGGTTGGAACAGCTTCCCCTTTCTGTTCTGAAATCTCTTTTCCGGCAAAGTTATTTTCTTCGTGAAAGAGGAAATTTTGCGAGAGCATATCTTGTGTTTCATTCAAGTAGAAACAAATGCACTCTTAGTAATATGATGCTTGGTGACTCATCAACCAGGAAAAAGATAGAAGTATAATACTTAGTGATGCTTGAAAAAATATCAAGAAATTCTTTCATTTCTATCGTCTCAAATATGGGGGATAAATTGTGCCGGTGAATGAAAATGAAAGACTCATATCTCTCTCA